TGTCTTAGGAAAATACTGAACTGATATCTTTCTGTTTTCTTTACCCAGTGTGGACGAGAGTACCATGTCGGCTGCTTAAGAGAGTCTGGGATGGAGGATGTAAGTTCTAAAAAAATTACGCACAACATTTCCTCTGTACCACGTTTCGTTGTAGATAGTGCGTCGGTGACATGTTTCAAGATGATCTTTGTTGTAGTTTACCCATTGTGCATGGTCACATTTGCTGGTTGGGTTCATCATCATCATTGTGCATGTGACAGGAGCTACCAGAGGCCGATTGGTATTGCCAGCCTGATTGCCAACAAATAGTGCAAATTCTATCACAGCTTGTGGCAAATGGGCCGGAGTCATTATCAGAGAGCATTGTCAGTGAGTTACTGGAAAGTCGGCAACACCAACAGGGTGTTATTGAGATGGCAGAATCCAATAGCCCAGTTTTTGGGTGGCAAATCTTACATGGGGTCAATAACAATTCTGTCAATGCACGGACACTTGCTCAGGCTGTGGATGTTTTCACAGTACGTACATTTCGCCATGTGTTTCCTGCGCTTTGTAATTGTGTCCTATTCGATAGCCCTGTGTTTTGACTGCTGTCAAGTCCAATGTCTATGTATTTGTTACTTCAATTCCGTCCCACAAGACTTATGAGTTAATTAAAGCATTCTTAAAGACCTGATGACCGTTGGTCATACCTTTCTTTTTGTAGGAATGCTCCGATTCAATCGAGGATGCCCCATCGGGACAGAATATGATTCCCCTAATGGTCAAGAGGTTTGGTGCAATATTTCAAAAATAGTTTTCGTTTGGCATCGGATTTCCAGTTTTTTTCCTTCTTTAATTCGAAATAATGTTGCCACTTACCCCGGAATTCTATGGCTTTCTATGGTGATTTTGATTTGAACTTGTGGTGTTGTCTCTTGCAGCCAGAATTTTAAAGACTTTGACTTCGGCGGCATTTATTGCGTTGTTCTGAAGCTCAAGTAAGCTCTCTCGACCTTTGCGGTGCATCTTTTATGCTGACTCTGTGCTGAGCAACTATTTAGGTTGCATTTTGAGACTGCAAGTGAGGAAATGGCTTTTCTTTCGTTGTTGTCAGGTGTTGAAGATCATCATTTTCCACACACTTTTCTTTTCAAGCATTTTTATGAACACTCATGCTGTCTGTGTTTCAGTGAGAAGGTGGTGTCGACAGCTTTACTGCAAATTTTTGGTCGGGAAGCAGCTGAGGTCCCCCTTATTGCGACTAGCGTTGGTCACCAAGGCCAGGTGCTTGGTGATCTCCCTTGTTTTCAGAGTTGACCGGTTGATTTTTCATGTTTTTATTATTCTGCAAGTCGCATGACAATAATCTGTGACATGCCATTTCACGACGTTTAGACAGGGAGTTAATGTAATGTGTTCAGTCTCTCATCTGTTTCATTTTTTGGAATCAGGGTTTCTGCAAGGCACTGCTGACCACGATAGAGAGGCTCCTGGGCGTGCTTAATGTGAAATGTTTAGTCCTCCCATCAGCCAAAGATGCAGAGTCTGTTTGGATCAACGAGTTTGGATTTTCTCGTATGGACGATGCACAGGTACCATCTGTTATTTTTAATGTTTCTTCGATGTGTTCGACAAGGTGATCGGTTCTGTTGTATTTTCTGGCAAGTAGACTAAGTACTTTCTGTTGAATTCGTACATCACTAATGTAGTTTTGATTAGGAGGAGGGTCAAATGTAATCGAACTTGGCAGAAATCCATCGTTTTCCCCTACTGATCACGACTGCGCACTTTTGTGCACTGAATATTTAGCTGTTGAGTGTATTTTTTTTTGGATGAGCCCATATGCACCATAAGGTTGTTGGGTCCACATATGCTGACTCTTTGCGATACGGACTGGCGTTATTGTTTTGCAGCAGTTAATAATTTTGTGAATATTTGTGTTTGCAGCTCAAACAACTCCGTTCAGCGATGAGGTTGATGACCTTTACTGACACCTCAATGCTTGTAAAGCCCATTACTGTGGTGACGCTTGAGAAGCCTATTTCTCTGGGGAAGTTCGACAAGTCCAGTAACCATTGGGGAGCGAAACGTCGGTGATTTGCTTACTTGCCACAGTAGATGTGCCTCTGACGCACTTGTCCAAACTTCTTGTACAGCCCGCTGTTTCGTTGACATTTGAGTCTCTGTTGCAACTATAATTTTTTGGTCAAGCATCTTTATGCTGTGGATAAGCCTTGTTTTGATGATGTTGATTGGCCACAATAAGGCCCAGGAACAACCCAATTTCAATATGTGTTTGTTGACCTTCATATTTCCGATCACCATCCTCTATGTTATATACGTTCTAAACTAGCTAATAGCCGAAGAGATAGAGAGGCCCCCAACTAGTTTCATCAACTAATGATCGTTTTGCAAAAGGAATGTGAGATGCTAGTATCCACCGTATCGATACTTTGAGGTTTTGAACTGTGGTTCCGATTCCCAGTATGTATGAACTTTCCTTCTTCATTTTTCCCCCACTAGAGGTATTAATCGCTATTTCTCAAATTCTAGTCGTTACAAACTCTTTATGTATGTTGCATCTGGTGTTTTGGACATTTGTATGTTATTACAGAACAAATGATTGAAATAATCAATTATATTTGATTAAAAATCCGAACTTTCGATGATTTTGCAATATCAGGAGTACTATTTATGTAGTTTGGAATGCGAATAAATTTTCACGTGCACAATCGTTATTTGTTTTAGAAAAGAAACAAATAACATCAACAATAATAGTAGGGAATTGATATTTCGACACCCCAAATTTACTATTCCCACACCTTCGTGATCGGGATCAGGACCGAGATACATATTTGGCATACGTGAGGTTGTAAAATCACACCCTGATATCTCGTCTTGAAAAAAAAAAGTAAAAATATGTTTTCAAGGAGAGTGATCATCACGCTTTTGTTCGTGTTGTATGCCTTTCATCTTCTCCTGTCCTTGGCGGTTGCTCTTTCCTATCTCTTCCTAAGTTTCCCATTTCTGTTTCCGCATCAACAATGGAACCACCGCCACAATGGCAGTTGTCCAAGAATTTTCCATCACTCAAGGCTATTCAGTTGTCAAAAGATGCACTGTCGAGAACAGCAAGTGCTTGATTAAGTGTGACCGTGGTGGAGCTAACGACAAGAGGCACCAACTGACCTTAGATACTAGACAACACGCGACATCTTCCTGCCTCATTGGTTGTCCTTTTAAATTGGATGCCCGTATACTTGGGATCGATGGACAATGGCACTTGAAAGTAAAGAATGCAGAACACAAACATGAACAAGATCAACAAGTTTCGTATGCCAATGTTGCATGTTGTGGGAATGACTCCTTTCAACAGTACCTCTACTGTCTGTTTCATATTTCTTAAAGAAGAAAAAGAGGTTCACTATATATGGGCACTACGACAATTGCATACGATATTTGTGGTCATGGGTTTACCCTGCACCATCACCACTGATCGAGAATTAGCCCTCATGAACGCTTTAGAACAAATCTTTAGCACCTCAGCGCATCTCCTTTGTGTGTGGCATATTCAAAAGAACGTGACTGTAAACTGTAAATCGGCTTTCATTAATGGAGATGAATGGGTGAGCTTCCTTTAAGAAGGGGCTTAGGTATATCATGTACCTATTATACATCTCTCTGTGCTGGCACATTTTCTGATCATACCGTGACTACTTACAGATCTGCCGATCCGAAACCAGTGAGGTACATGCGCAGAGATTGGGGGAATTCAGCACCAAATATGCAACAAAACCCACAATCCTGGAATACATATGCACCACTTGGACTCCTTATAAAGAGAGATTTATTTCTGCATGGGCAAACCAATGTCTCCACTTTGGCAATGTTAACACCTCAAGAGTTGAAGGAGCTCACTCTACTACAGTCAAAAGTTACCTAAAGGTGTCTACTTTGGATTCACGCGATGCTTTCCAACGCTTAAAGCTGGCACTGGAAAATCAATAGAAGGAATTTGAAGCTAAACTATCAGCTGAACGTATGCGGGTATATTACTACTATGATATTCCTTTCTATCGAGAGGTGGTAAAAAGAGTTTCTTTGTTTGCACTGAATGAAGTGCACAAGCAGCTGGTGATCGCAAAACGGCCGTCAACCGAAGCAGATCCTTTATGCACTAGCGGATTCTCAGCATCTATGGGCCTGCCTTGTGCACACACTATTCGAGCAAAGCTAGCCACCAACCAAATTCTGCATCTCGAGGATTTCCATTTTCATTGGAAGCTTACAAACCCCACACCTGCGACCATACTTATCCTTCTCGGTGAACCTCCAAAACCTGCAACTCTTGAACTCCTATTGGCATCAATCAATGTGACCTACCAGCAATTAGCTCCACACCAACAACAAGCTACACACTCTCAACTATCACAGTTGTCCAGTCAAACAAAGGAAGTTTCGACCAGTCCAGCCGTAGCTCGCACCCGAGGCCGACCACAAGGATCCAGCAATAGAGAAGGACCTAGTACCCGTAGAGATCCCTCTGCTTTTGAAAGAATTGGAAGGACCTAGAGACGTTGTAGGGAATGTGAGAGTACAGAGCATGATCGGCGGCATTGTCCGGATGTAGTGCGTGAATGATTCTTGTAGATTCTTGTAGGGGTCGAGTCTCCCTCCCACTTCCATTGTCCTCAAACCCCCGTTCCTTCCTTCAATATGGCTGTGTATCGGCGCCCTCTAACTGAAGCACGCTCGCACGTAACGTTGGAATACCTTAAACCGTTACCTGCCCCTGAACCACCAACTAGCCTTAAGGAGAAACCGGGCGACCAGGTCCTTTCACCGCGGAATGGCACTGGGAGGGTGCGGGACCACAAATCTGATCTGAGCAAGTTAGCGGCTGCATGTGCCGCAGAAAAAAGGACTGTGCGGTTCACTGACATGGCAAAGGACAGAAATAGGAAAAACCTCTGCGGCTCACGAGGAAGCCAGACACGGTTTAAGAACAAGGCCGCACATACTTTCGAGGTTTGCAACAAACAGTTTTCAGTTCGTGCTGTGAACAGGTAGGCGGTACAGTACGGAATGCAATTTGTTTAGTCTTTGAGTCAGATCTGTACTTTCGGCTTTTACAATTGATGAAAATTTGAGAATTTTTTTGTGCTGTGAACAGGTATGCGATGCACTACTGAGTGCTAAGTTTGCCAAAAACGACTGGCTTTGAACGTGTTGCTAGATCGAATAACACCAACTTCTGTGGTTTTTCACTGACAAGAACCATAGGCGCACAAGGTTTGGTAAGTGCGATGTACGTATTCGCATGGTTTGATGAGTTAAGATCCTCTGAAACCACCCGAGAGCTAGAGAATCAAGGCTGGATTCTCTAGCTCTTTTTCTAGCCACCCGAATAATTGTAACTTTCTTCCTTGTATCCCACTTTCTATTGAATCAAGGTGGGTCTCAGTCTGCGGCCAGTCTAGAGGCTCTTCTTTTAGTTTCTCAGACTGAAGTGCTGCATCAAAGGTAGCACAAGCAGCATCTGCATTTCCCTGCTCACAATTTCACGCACATTCAGCCACCGCAAATCCAAATCTTAGCAAATTCGGGAAAGCATAACACGTTAATGTAAGTCTACATTAAATTCTTAAATGTGAAAAATTACAGAGAAGGCAAGTGTTTGTTACCTGACGGTGCTCAAAGTTAGCTTGTTTGAGAATAACGTCCAGGAGTCCTAGAACCAACTCATTTCTTAGGATTTCGAATGCTACTCGAGCATCTTCCACATAACCATGCTGCTCATAGAACTTTGTTGCAAAAAGGTGAATTCTTGTTTTGTAAGTTCTTAGAGTTTTCCATGATGATGTTTAATGAAGGTTGCATCGGACCTTCTGCTTTAAAAGTAAAATCTTGGGGTGCATTTGTTCGAGTCTATCTGTCGGCTTGGGTCATTTTTGTAATGCTATCAAGAGGCCCGAGCTACTGTTGGAGGCTGACGGTGGTGTTCTAAATTTCCCACAGTAGGTTTTCTTCAACGCTGTTTTCTGCATGGATTACTCATGTTGTGGAGTGCATCTGTTGAGAAGATGAGGAGAATACCATTTATTGGTGCTCAATGGACACAATAGTTAAGTTACGCTCCAAGTCTGCTCGCAATATTGGCTTAGATGTTGTAAGTTTGCCATCCCACACCTCCCATTGCAGTCTTTGAATGTATCGATTCACACCTCCCATTGTAGTCTTTGAATGTATCGATTATTAAAACTTTCAAGCAATTCTTCAATCAATATAGAGATTATTGGCTACTACAAAGGATGTGTTGGCACAATGGATCTTCTTGCATTACGAAAGGCACTAAGTCCATCAAATATTCAAAGTGGTTTTTTTGTTATGGGAATTTATCCATTAGACAAGGAGGTCGTAAAGAAGCACATGGGATTATTTAAGATCTATAAGAATGCTTCTACGGACACTTCTTTTGAAGATGGTGGCACTTTGGAGCAAGTGTAGGGAAGCAATGCCATTGACTCACAAGCCATGCTGGAAGAAGAGCAAATGGAGTAAGATAGAGGTAGGAAAGATGTGGATTCTTTTTATGTAAGAGTCTCTATAGCCATAGGGTAGTTTAAAGTTCAGGGTAGACATGCTGAGAGGTAGAGTGCCTCAACAATACATGTTGTAGAAACCTTACTATTTAATCAAGTAGCACCACTATTATTAGCCATTGGATTGCAACTGATGCTTCTTCCTTTAAATGGATTTTTCTCTTGTCATACACAAGAGCATTGAATGAATACAAATCTTTAACATCAATTAAAGTATATGTATAATTTTAAGTAATGTAATAGATGACCTTCATAAAACACTCTTAGAATAAATTGCACGGCATATATATATATATATATACAAATATTATTCTTTGTAAATAAATCATTTGAATATCTTAAGTATTTCCAAAATAATAATTAAAGATTATATTGTTAAAATAATAACATACCATTGATTGTAATAACAACACAATGAAATACTACACATATAACCTCCAAGAAAATAGTAGACAATTTATTTTGGTTGAATTCATAGAATTTTTTAAAAAAAATGTTACAATATATTGAAAACTTTTAAGTCTTCCATGTACACATATATTTTTCCCTCAATTTAAATTACAAATGTTTTTCTTCTTGATCATCAAAATTTTAAAAAGTTTTGTCAAGCAACATTCTTCTCTGAACAAAACTATGAACTCTTTTAATTTTGAATTTTTTTTTTGCTTGACCAAAAAATAAAGTAGAAGATTAAATTACGTTTCAGGCTGGAGATGTAATAAGATACTCTATATAAATATGTAAAAAATCAGACATAAATACTCGATTTTGATATTGATGTGTTTGATTTGAAGAACAGAATTACAGAGGATACTTTACGTGCTCCTAAAATTTTACTATACTGATATATGTTTTTTTTAACCACGAAAAAAGAAAATAGATCCACCATTTGTCATTACTTCGGGCGGTGCAGGTGATGGAGTAGGTCCAGGGTTTGATGGGTCCACGGGGCTCTGATGTAGAAATGGCAGAGGTAGGGAGGGCGTGCATTCTCCTCGCATTCCCAACACTGGCTTAGAATCACATCGGCAGCCTCAAACACGAAGTATTCGGCGTAGTGCATGGTTTCCTCCCAGATAATGTCTACGCCGATTGCATATGCTTTCTTCTTCACTGAGATTACTGTTGCTGGCGCCATGGCGCCTAACGTGACAAGACTCGCAGTGTTTCCCAAGTACTCTGACGATAGGACAATGCTGTTCTCGAGAATCATCTCATACTTGCTTTCCCTGGATAATTTCCCCACTGATATGATTTGAGGTGGGGCTGTTTCCATGAACCAGTTTTGAACTTCAATCCTCTCCATAGTTAACGCCGACTGTATGGTTTCCTACACTGCGTGTTCTTCGTGGTGTAATTTTCAACTCGTAGCAGGTTTGCCCTAGCAGAAAACTCCACACGTGAACAGCCTTCAAATGATCACAGCTCAAGGAAACTTTTCCAATGGAGTTATTAGAATTGTTTTCATTGCAAATGCAACGGCTGTTTCGGAAATGCGATTGGAAGCTCTTTCAAATGCATGTCTCTGACTCAATTCTGCGAGTCCAGTTCAAAACTCCCGCGACGTCACAGTGACAAGCACGACTGATTCTCCAGCTCACCCCAGTACTTCAAATCACATCCGATACTCAACTTCGAGCTTGATCCAAACAGATGAATCGCAACGCCAGCAGAGTCTTGTTCCTAGTTTAACATGTACTAAGCAAGCGGTAGGCATGCAAAACAAGCTTCTTCACAGGAAGCCTAGAATTAGCGACTGATAACCCACCTTCACAGAATCAACGACAGACAAAAACCAGGAATGAGTTCCGAATTCTCTGACACCGAATCTACTTGCAGCAAAAAGGACCCCCACGCTCGCGCAACACAACCCAGTGAACACCTACGATACACAACAACGCTACTGAATTCAGTATAGAATCAAAACTAAATGGTGAACTAATGGCTGCATTGACAGTCTTCGATGTCATTGGCAAATGTGCAACGGAAACAAAATGCCCACTTCTCTGACACATGACAAAAATGGATAGAAACATGCGGGACAAATTACAGAATGACAAACAAATCTTTCATCATCCTGCTCCACAATCAACACAGCAGCTTATTTTTTATTTAGAAAATGGACCCTTCGTCGTCATCGTAATCGTCTTTTTCTTTTTTTTTTCTTCTGGTTGACGTTACTTGGTTGTGTGGATTGGACATGTGGATTGGTGCGGGCCCCATAAAAGTTGGGTTGTGAGTGGTGGAGGGGCTGAGTTCTACGAGTGGCGGAGTGTGGCCAGTTACACACACGGATTTGGGACCCGATTTCTTGCCATTCCGAGCAGGCTGACAAGCGGAGTGTGGCCAGTTGCACACGCAGTTTCTGCCCCCCCTTTCGCTGGTTTCTGGTTGCACCTGGGCACTGGCTTCTGTCCAACGTGCATGTGGATCGGTGCCCGCATTGTGCACGGAATTCAACCCATGTAGTCGCAGATATGGCGGCCTCTTGATCCCAAGTTTTGGTTTCTCAACACACAACTTTGCTCAAGTCTACGACTCGGTTTAGGGGTAAATTGCAAAAAACTGGCTTCAAACATTTTTATCAATTCAACCACTGCGTCGATTCAATTTTTTTCTTCTGGAGCACATCAAAACCTTATTTCTCTATCCAAAAAATCCAAAAAAATAAACCCCCCGAGATAGCTGAAAAAACCTTAAGTTGACGGTTTAAGGTATTCCTACGTCAGATGCGAGATACTCGTTGGTTGGTGGTGTGTGCCCCCCCAAATTTGAGGGGAAGGGAGGGGTATCTTTGTTCGTTGACTGCTTTGGAGGCTGGCAGTCACTGCTCCTCTTGCTATTTCACGACACCGCGGGTCCTAGTAGTGGCTGCGGAGCACTGGGAATCCTGCGTGTGGCGTTATGTGGCGTTACGTCGAGATTCCCAACACTGGTATAGTCCAATCTAGTACAGAAGACAGCAGCAGAGCTTGTAAATGCTTTCGACAGTGTTCAGTATTCAGTGAAACCCTATTCGTCGATTGCGATCCGAAGCCACTGGGTGCTTCAAAAGAGAAACCCTATTCGTCTCGGACGTGGTCATAGGATCGATCCTTCGGTTCGGTCATAGGGTTGATACTTTGTCTCCGTCATATTATTTGGATCCTGTGTCCGTGGGGAGTGTGGAACCGCGCTTCTTCCTCGTTGTCCTCATGGCTCTTGTTGGGTCAGAGCTCGTTGACTCACATTTTTTGTGGCGTTCCAATGCTTGTTTGAGACTGAAGAAAACATGGATTACTTAAATTTGGAAAGATCTTTTCTATGGAATAAGAATCTTACAACTTTATCATCATAGAATATATTTCACATAAAAAATAATTTTTTAAAAAAACTTTTTTCAAATTCTTTATTTTTATTTTAAAATATGACAATTTTCTCTATTATACAATTAAAATCACTATTTGCATTATTAAAAAAAAATCAAATGGATCAAAATGTCAATTTGATCGTAAGGTATTTGCAGTTCATACAACACAAAATTATTAGATAAATGTAAAACGTTTTTGCTTGAAAATTTAACCCACCATTAGATTCTGTTTTTAGTTTTCCATTTCTATTACACTATTTAGCTAATTCTTTGGTGTTTTTGTTTAGAATGATGGAATGTGTTCAACGCTGTTTTCAATTGCAACTAAACCTACTTGCATATTCATAAATATCACAGTGTGATTACTTCTTAATTACAAATATCTTGAAGAAGTACAGTTTACTATGAATAGAAAGTTTTGGTAACAAAATTGATTGTAGTTACCTAATCTATTTTAAAAAAATAAAATAAATAAATAAAAATAAAAATTGACAGTAGGTTTTTTTTAGAATTGACCATGATATAAACGTGAATAGAACATTAATATGATTTTTTTTTATTATTTTTTTATTGTCTTTGTATAAAGTATGAAAGAAATTTAAATTTAAATTTACATGAGCTTAAAATGCCAAATATATATTTTTTAAATTTTTATTTTAAAAACTAAACATACATCACAAATTGGATGGGACTATAATAAAGTAGAAAAATAAACAAAATGGCACAACCCTAAGAAAAATACCAAAGCTTCATGAAAGCATAATTTCATTACAACTTACCAGTGCCTAAAAAAAGAATATGCGAAAATGAGTTGTATATAAATAGATGTATATAGTTAAGTGTAAATAGATATAAATAGATGTATATAGTTCAAAAAACTTCAACCACATTTGTTCTTAAACTTTCAACTTTGTTTTATTTTACTTACTTCTAAGAATTTTAAAAGGAGTGTTTTTTTTGCTAATAATTAAGAAAAATATAAGAATTATGTTTTAAAGACAAAATTTCTATTCAAGAAGAACTATGTATAAAACAAAGTCATCATAAAATCCTTTCTAGATACAAGATATTGAATATACCATAATTTTAAAATATCTAAATAATTTGAGTCCTTTAGTTACTCTTTAATAATTTTATTATTTTAAAATTTAACAATTTAATAAGATATATAAAGTTTGAGTGCCAAACATGGCTAATCAAATAGCACATTTAGTTTATAAAAATTATGAGTAAATTTAAATTCTCATATTTTTGTTTATGATGTATATGTATAATTATGCTATCATGTATGAAGAATGTTTTAGCTTAATAATTCTAGTTGTGGTATGGTATATTTGATTTGATTTGATTTTTTTTTTTTTTTTTAAATTATGCTAAAATTATCATAATATCTCTTTTTAATTTACCCAAATTTGTTCTATATTAATCTTAACGATTAAAGATTAATTAGAGTAATGTACCAATTATAAAAAGATGCTTCTAATGTTATGATATATATGATTGGGTTCAAACGTTCATTGAAAAAAATATTTTTGCAATTTAAACACAAAGTGGGAAGTTTTAAAGATATTAAGTATAAAATATTAATACAAAAATTCACTATATATATATATATATATATATATATAAAATAGAATAAACATATTTGTTACAAAATTAAATTGAAAAGTTATTAATTGTTCTAAAAACATCCTTACACAACAAAGATATTTAATTGTTCTACAAACACCATTATGTTTATGGACTTTTTATTTATGAAGACTTTTTATTATCTTTTTTGCATTCTTTAATTTTTTTGTTCGGTTGTTTGGATATGCACAATACTTGCAAGTACCTCGGATTAGTATGATTCGATTTCCAATTTATTCAATTGTTTTTTTTTTCAAGATAGAAGGCATAAAGGATGAAGTTTTATTCTTTCTACTTTTTCCTTTTCTCTTCAAGAATATGAAGTTTATGTGTTTAAAAAATATTATAAATATGTTTTGCAAATGTTTTTGAGCCAATTTAATCAAATATGGCGGGTCTAATTTCACTTCAGAAATCCAGAAAATTACCTTTTCAGTTTTATTCTTTCTTATGTCAAATGATATTTGTGATTATTTCAGTTAATGTCATAGTCTTAATATATATATATATATATATATATAATAGTGTGCCATGAAAATTTTGTAAAAGCTATGTATTTTTTTCTACTGCCACATAATGGCATTAGCTAATTGTTTCAAAAATATGATACAAAGAGAACTTATATGTTACTTCTACTCGACATACAATAAAAATTATTAAAACAAAAAATAACCCAGAATTTGACAATAAAACTGGGAAGAGGAAGCACGGCTCTCATGTGGCAATCATGGACAATAGTGTATTTGCCTTCCACATTGATATTACATCAATGAATCTCTTTCACAACATTTATTTATTTATTTAGAATTATTCTTAAACTGTTGTGTCTCTCTGCACTTGTGTGTTTACTGCTTGTGATGGGTCTTATAAAAATATGGCCGAAATATTTAAATTAAATTGAATATATTCTTTTGTTACAATTAAGAAAAGTTTAACTTATTTTGACTTGAAGAATGTAGCATGATTTTCATTTCCCGTGTTCAATTATGTGTTGCTAGATTAAAATATCACAGAGCCATGTATGAAAAATAAAGAAAAAAAATCCACATACTCATTTTAAATAAATTTGAAACTTTTAAGATAAAACATTTATAAATATATATATATATATATATATACATACATACATACAGAGAGAGAGAGAGAGAGAGAGAGAGAAAAGAAGAAAAAAGCAGTAGTTATGTATGTATTTATTTATTTTTACACACAGTCTTTAGTTTCTTTGCATATATGTATATACTCGTACATGTATATTCGTATGATTATAGAAATTTACTATGGGTTTTAAAATAAAGCAACAATTACACCTAACATTTCTTTTTGCAAATCTTACTTGAACATAAAGTATTTGATGTTGCACATGGTTTTAATCGTTTTGATTCTTTCAAGTGCTGTAATACTCAAGTGCTTGTATGAAAAATAGTACCAATCATTGGCATCATGCACAACTCACAACAATAAAGTTTTTATACTACATTATTCATTTTGAACATTTTTTAATAGGTAATATTTTACACAACTACTTTACACCATCCAATCATTATAGATTCAATCCTCGGCTACAACAATTTGATGTGTACATTAAAGAATATAAGAAAACATTATTATCGAATGAACTTTTTACCTAAGATACAAATGTATATACACGAATAGTGGCAAAATACAGAAGTGTCTACAAAGTGAAAGGCAAGAACAAAAGCACAATGAGAAATAAGAGTAGTGGTGCTCAATTCCTAGCATAAATGTGGAAATGTGTGGCAGAATCAAATTAGGGAAAGGGCCAAGAGTGGTTTCCTTCCTTTTCCTAGAGTAGAGTAGTCATGTGGAATGTTCCCCCCCCCCCCCTACCCCCCTTCTAGAGTAGTAGGGCCCAACCCAACCCAACTGCCCCCAAGTACTTCTATTACTACTACGACTACTACAACTTTAGGGCCACCTTGCGTCCTTCTACAAGCAACACCAACAATTTGCTTGCTTGCCAGCGTCCCGAATCACATTGGTTCTCGCGGTGGCCACACACTCACTTCCAACGAACAGATTCCACGAACCTACGAATTATCTGTTTAAACGGATGAAGCATTCGTATATAACGAATGATCGAACCAGGTCGTGTGCGAGAGAGATGAATTCCGTGGTCGAACGAACGAACAATCGCGGCGACGGAACGGACTGACGGAGGAGTGGTGTGGATGTAGGGATGTAGGGAAGAAAGGGAAGAGAGGATGGATTGTGTCGAGTCAGTAGGAGGCCAAAGTGAAGCAAGGCAAGCCATGCAGTCAGTGGGGAAAAGGCGTACGAAGCCATGCAGTCAGTGGGTACGGGCGGGCGTGCGAAGGGGGGTGGGGGAAAGGCGGGCCTGGGGGGGAGGTAGTGCTGGTGGTGAGGAGGGACGGAGAAGGAACAAGGGCGAGAGGGAGGGAGGGAGCCCGCACAGGGCCACACAGGGCCGCACAAAGGGCAGGCCGAATTCGGGCCCGAAGTAGCCCCCCCTTTGTGGGTGGGTTGGTGGGTAGGAGGATGAATAAAGGGGCCGAAGGGGGATGGATGAAAGGGGGACAGGGGATGTCATGGGAAAGCCCAACAATGCTGGTCGCAGGGGCATCTCAGTCCGCACTTTGCTCCCCCCCGTGGGGGACGGGGAACGAGGAGGTTGGGGGCAAGATGGAGAAGAGGAAGGAAAAGAAAAAGAGGAGGAGGCAAAGCAGGCACCCCCCCCCTTACTTCTCTGGGGGCCCTCTCTTTCTCTGTTGTTCCTCCTCCTCCCCTGCCCTTTCTTTTGCATGCCTTTTCTTTTCCTTGGTCTCTTCTTCTTCTTCTTCTTCTTCTTCATGACCCCCCCCCCCTTTATTTCCGATGGGTACCCGTGCCCGTGCCCGGCACGCTTTGTTTCTTTCTCTTTCTCTCTCTTCAGATTCTCATTCTCTCTGTCTCTCTCTGTGTGTATTCTTTTTCTCCGCCCTTTGCTCATCTCCTTGGGGCTTTTCTGCTTTCTCTTCGGTGCCCCTCGCTCTTCTTCTGAATCCTCTCTTCCTCTTCTCCCTCCTTCTCCTCTTGCTCCTTCTCGGCTTCTGTCTGTCTGTCTTGTGGACATGGGGTGAGGCGACTGGCAGCGTGTGCGCGTTGGGGATGTTTCTTTCCCACCTTTGTAGAGAGGGAGGGAGGGAGCGAAAGCGAGAAAGAGAGAGAGAGTGAGTGAGTGGGAGGGAGGGGTGTTGTGGGGTTAAGGAGAGGAGGGCTAGCAGTGAGGAGGAGGAGGAGGAGGCTGGTTTGACGTGGAAGGAGAGGGAAAATCTGGGATGGTGCGAGGTGATGGTGGGTCGAATCGCTGAGATCACAGTCTTGTTTTGCAGAGGAGATGGGTGGTAGGTTTATTTGATTGTGGAGTGTCGCGGTGAGATTGAGCCAGGGATGCTTGGTGGTGGTGGTAGTAGGGGTGGTGGCATCTTCGACAAAGGAGTGGAGGTTACAGGGAAGGAGTTTGACTGGAGAGGTAGCTTAGTATGCAACCGACGTGGTGCGCAGTGAAAGATATTCCGGTGGGGTTTTGGGAATCTAATTCGTTAAGGAGGGTGAATTCTGAAATGGAAGAGCCATAGCTGGGTTTCTTTTTCTGGTGAAAGCCAAGCTAACTATTCTTTAGTATGATTCGTGTTTTAATTGCAATGGAAGCGGGTGTTCTCAATCAAAGGTCGTCGCGAATGCTCTTGGGTTTGTGAGTCGCATTCCTCCTCCGAAGTACGTCTCGAACACTTGTATTTTTTTATTTTTTCATTTGTTCATTTTTATGTTTATGTATGCATGTGTGTACGCGTGTGTCGTGTTTGTGAAACAATAACTAAGTGTGCAAAATGGTTTTAGTCGATGACGCGGATGATTTGTAGCATTTTCACTGATGTGATTTAGGACTCTTTGCCGCCATTCTCGTGGCTTTCCTGATGTTTCTAGTGTAAATCGAGTTTTATACTTTTGGTCGTGCAACTTGAACCTATGCCTTGTTTTACCTTTTTCATGATTTTCATTTGTCTTCCATTCCCAGTTATTGTTTTATCTCCTCTTATTACAGTTTTATGATAGAATCTTTCTCCCAGCGAACTGTCAATAATTTGGTTTTAGCGATGTCACCACTACCTACGTGCTTCTCCTTCTCGGGATGTCACCACTACCTACGCATGTGGCTGTAACCTTCTGCGTGTCACGTTTCTTTGGGCCTCTAATTATCACCTTCACGAAGTTCTGTGGTCTCTTGATTGGTGGAATACAATCGTTTAACTCGGTTGTTTTCTTTTGGTTGAGAAGTGATGGTAGCCCTGTTTGGCTTTTGCTTCGTTGTCAGGTGTGAAAACGTGCTCTAACATGTAGGTGAAATCTTGGAAAAGTTTGAAATGGAGTTTGGACTGAGAAATTTGAGCAGAACTACTTGGTTGACCATGAGTGCCGAATGATCACATCGCTCGGCTGTCGTAGTCGATGCGAGAATGATGCCAGTTGATAGCTAAATTTAACGAAAACACAACTTTTTCTACTTGGGTAACGTTCTGATCTTGCTCGAGTGTGTTGGCAGAGATTTGAGAACGTCTACTGCCTGGCAGCATATCGTAGAAGTCCCTCATTTAGACCTGTTCCAGTACGTCGCTACATCAAAAGCGTAGCTTATGGCTGGTTCTCCCATGACAACTTTATCAATTGGAGGGATGTCACCTAGTAATGGTGTAAGAGAGCACCATAGTTATGAAACGATGCTCAGATTGAAAAGCTACGTTCCGGAGCTATATCCCACCGACCATCTTCACGATGGCACTTCCACAGGCGAGGTGGAAGCGTCTAATGGAGTTTTAAGTGGAAGTCATAACTCGAGCAAGGGTTTGAAGAGAAAGAGACCGGAACATCCTGGAGCACAGTCAGCTCCTGTGTATGATGGCGGGGAGGCTAAGATTGTATTGGGTCTGGGCCAAGTTGACGATTCCAGCAGCATGGATGAGGACTCTGGTGTTGTTCTTGGGTTGGGCCAGTCAGACACTAGAGATTACTCGGGAAATCTTTCAGGAAGTGCGAACTTTTGTAGGAGTATGGGTGGGGATGAAACAGTCCACAGTGGAAGCGCCGTCGCGGAGATGCTTTTGGCAAGGGGTCAGGGTCAAGGGCTGAACCGTATAGAACCCGGTGCCCTTCTCCGTTTGAACAGCATGGGAGATCTACATTCGGGGGCTGCTGGAACTGGAAGTCAAGGTTGGCACGGGGATGCTCGGCGATATAACAGCCACTCTGAAAATCAGGTTGGATCACACCTGGGATTATCTCCCTCTTGTCCTGGTTACGCTGGCTCGTCAAATGGTCGGAAGTTCGGAAGCGATGATGGGCTGCTTTTAGGACTCGGTCAAGGGGCTAAGGCTCACCTTGGCAGTAGCGGACATTTTCCTGTTGTCGACGAAGGGTCTAGTACAGCTCGGTTAACTTATGGCGGCTACATGCCATCACTTCTGATGGGTAGCCAAATCTATCCCACAGTGGCTTCTGATCGGCACCGTAGTGATGCCCGCGGTAAAGGGCGCAGCGAGGACGAAATAGTCGAGCACGACCTTCTGATGAGCCTACGTGCAACTGCAAGCGGTGGGACAACATCTACCAGTGGTGCTTCTGGCTCTGATCGAGTCCCAAAAGTGTGTAAATTTAGGGGATGTGGTAAGGGTCCGAGAGGAGCTTCCGGCCTATGCATCGCGCATGGGGGCGGGCGGAGGTCAGTATCTATACTTAACATTGAACCTGGGTGTTCAAAATATTGTCTTACATTTGTGCGTCACCACTAGTACTCATGATGAAAGTTCAGGATTATTTACCCTTAACTTATTTAGTCGTTTGGGTCTCTGATTTATCGACAACGTATGTCCAAACCCTGGGTACATAGCCTATACGACTTGTAGATTTATCTTTCTCACTTGATTTTTAGGAGTAATTATCGTACTTGCATCGAATTCTGCGTGAATGGGTCAGTAAATTTGTGGTATATCGACTTATTTGAGAAGAAGTCTTCAAACGTGTAGTTAGAGGTACATGCTCTTGGCGTGATGGTTTTTCCGATTCATTCCAGTTGAATTAAAGGAAAGTGTACATTGCATACATAATATCATGCAAATGAAACTAAATGTCACTCTGATTACCTCAAGTGCAGGTGCCAAAAGCATGGGTGCAATAAGGGTGCAGAAGGACGCACGGTGTACTGCAAAGCGCACGGAGGCGGCAGAAGATGTCAAAATTTGGGATGTACGAAAAGCGCTGAAGGCAAAACTGATTACTGCATAGGACACGGTGGTGGCCGCCGCTGTAGCTTTCAAGGCTGTGACAAGGCTGCTCGTGGTCGCTCAGGTCTGTGCATCCGTCATGGTGGTGGGAAGCGCTGCCAGATTGAGGGGTGCACCAAAAGCGCCGAAGGATACTCTGGGTTGTGCATTTCACATGGCGGTGGACGAAGGTGATTTATTTCCACATTGGAACATTGTTGATACCAGGGTGATGTATGAAAGGGTAGTGTTAACTTTGCGATTATAATGCAGTGGGCAGGACTAGCTCGTTCCACCGAGTTACGGTCGGTTGCGTAGCATCCCTCTTATGGTGGTTTGCTTTTTGAAATATTGTAGGGACTGTCGTCTTTTATCGTCTTTATTGACGCTCCAATGCCGTTCCCTCCCATTGCAGTGGGAAGTTAGGGTTTCAATGACAAGTTGATAGATATACTTTGCCTACTACAGGTGTCAATTTGCCGGTTGCACTAAAGGAGCCCAAGGCAGCACTATGTTCTGCAAAGCCCATGGAGGTGGAAAGCGTTGCATTATACAGGATTGTAACAAGGGTGCTGAGGGAAGCACTCCACTCTGCAAAGGCCATGGAGGTGGGAAACGTTGTGCTTTTGATGGTGGTGGGATCTGTACCAAAAGCGTGCACGGAGGAACCCTCTACTGTGTTGCTCATGGAGGTGGGAAACGCTGTGCTGTGGAAGGCTGCGGAAAAAGTGCGCGGGGCCGAACAGATTTCTGCGTTCGACATGGAGGTGGAAAACGGTGCAAGATCGAGGGATGTGGAAAGAGCGCACAGGGTAGCACAGATTTTTGCAAGGCTCATGGAGGTGGTAAACGATGTCAGTGGGGAGCTGAGGGTTCCAACTTTGGTGACCTCTTGAAAGACAAAAATGGAGAGCCCGTTTCTGGGTCTCCTTGTGACAAATTTGCTCGAGGCAAGACTGGTCTTTGTGCAGCTCACAGTGCTTTAGTTACTGATCGACAGGTACACGGTGGGAGTGTAATTGGAAGTGCAATTGCCCCTGGATTGGCCCCTGGTCTATTTCGAGGTTTAGTAGCTGGTGCAGGGCAGAGCCGTCCTAGCGGTTTGGCTACCACAAGTACAACTGCAGAGACGGCTGCAACTGGTGGTAGCAGACCTGTCGGAAGTGTTTCCGCTGAAATGAGGAGTGGAGCATCAGAGACTCCAGATGCATCAAGTACTGTTGCTACACGTGTGGTGCATTCAGTGTCTCGCTTTTAATTGCGCTCATTCTCTACCATGTTTCAACTAGCTAATTTTTTGGACCTCGTTGGTTTTTTCGGCAGGCTCTGATGCACCCTCAAATTCTGCTCGAGCTCCAATTGGAATTTGGGTTCAAAGGGGTTCAGCACTTTCCAGAAGTTCTATGTCACAAGGGTTTTCTGGTAGCATGGATACTACAAATCCTTCCATGGTTAGCGACGCCTCGGGCACTGTGCATGGTCCTTATCGTGGCGGTATACTGGGTACTTCTCAAGGTGGCAACCAGCTTGGTGACGGGAGGAATTTGAATGCATCTGGAAATCCTGGCGTTGGTGGACTTGCTGATTCCACTGCTGAATTGGATTTGAATCCTAGAGCCCCAGAGACTACTATGCAGCCAACACCTTCGTCACTTCCTTTTCACCAACCCCTCATTCCTCCTCAGGTGATGTGCACTTTTCCATTGTGAGAGGCGTTTCTTTATTTAATGTCGATATTAGCATTGTGCTTATTATGGTGACTCCAGCAGTTCTTGTGTTCCGGATGTTATGGTGCTAATTTCTGATGTGGATGGCTTCCAGGTTTTGGTGCCTTTATCAATGCAAAAAGACATACATTTGTCCAACAAGTCTAGGAACGGGCGGCCACCTCGGCCGCAACTCTCAGATGCTGATGAAGGAGTGTTCAACATGGGTTTGTTGTCACTACCCGAGGGGAGAGTTCACGGAGGTGGGCTTATGCCGTCGCTTTCTGGGAGCCGTGTTCATGGAGGAAAGCTAACGCCTGCTGTCCCTGAAGGCCGAGTGCATGGAGGTGGTGTCATGGACAACGTAGGTGACGATTCTCGTCATCGTGTAGACGCGTTCAATTTCAGGATGGATTCTTCCAGAACTCCCACGTATAATATGCGGTATCCAGTTCATGGACACTCAATTCCAGGGTCCTGTGCATCGGACAATGGATTGCTACGACCTGATTTGAGTCTGGAGAGAAATAACTCTTTGGGCATTGATGTTGGGCAGTTCTTGGCAACTGGGGTTGACTTGAATTGACCTTCACATTAGCGATGTGGAGATTCTGGATGCTTGACGATTTGCAACATGCTAACAACACTTTAGAGTGATGAGTCTTGTGGCCAGGACGATTTGGGTGATGAAATGGTGGTATATTTCTTTTGTGAGTTTGAGAGACCTTTGGCGTGCAAGGCGTTGGGGTTGGGTGGGGATTAGGCTAGTAGTAAATAGAGTTTGTTTAGAGTTATGTTGAGTTTGACAGTGGTAGTGGGAATCCTAAGACGTCGGTTACGCCTGGTGATACAGAGATGCATCAGTGTGAGATGTTGGCCACGCTGGTCCTGTTAGCCTTCCCTACTTAACAATATCGTCTCTTTGTTATCATGTCTTAAGCTAAGTCCAACTTCAATTGTTGAGCTTCGTCTGCGCTGGCATTTGAGTCCACCATGAATTCAAAAAGGTGGATCTAAAGAGGAGGCAACAGCAAAGGCTCTAACTTCGGCCTTCATCTGGTTTCAATTCCATTATGCAGTGTAATGACAAGCAAATGACAAGGTGAACATTATTTAGATGAAGGATTCGGTATCATTCCTCTGTAGCAGGATGCAAGTGGATAGAGCAGATGGGTCTTGTACATTCAACTAGGGTTATATTGTAATTTGGACGAGCTGGTATGTGGCTCTATTTGTAATTTATGATGGATGAAGGATTTAATTACATTCTGATGTGTTTCTTTGGGCCATGGCCCAATTATATTGGTCTAGCAAGTGTATCTTCATTTTTAACAGTCTTTCCAGGAATCTGTAAACTATGTTAATTTAACTTGATACTACAAAATAAAGAATTGCTTTGAAAACTGAAACATTTGTTTTGCAGGCATATCTTATATGTATCTATTGCTGCTGAGGACTTTCATGTGAGTGTTTAGAAGGAATTGATGTTGGGCCTCGAGTGGAATTGTTCAGTAGATGTTGCCTGTCTTATATACATACATATGTGTTTTTGCAGTTCATGGAAGTATGTGATTTGAATTACATAAGCTTGATTTTGAACCTTTACTCATGTTGCATACAACTTCAATTAGGTATTTTTAAAATAGTGAGAAATTTATGAAACACGAAATAGTACAGCACTGATTTTGGCGTATTATCCATGTGACCCTATGTACAAATGCCAAAAACCATTTAACAAATATTCATTAAAATTTTGAAATGTAATATCTTTACCTCAACAAGACCCTTACTTAAATCTGATTTGGTTTGAATATTAGTAAATAAAACTGTTCATACAGAAAGTAACAAAGAAATATATTTCCTTGCAAAGGCAAAATAAGCTTTCATTAACATACCAAATTCCAAATGTTAATCATTTGAACTAAGATTAATTATAATAAACTGCATGGTATTTGTGCCACCCTCAGTACTATAAATACGGTATTACTGTAATTTACATGACTGCATTAAAACTTACATAAAAATAAGTAAAATTTGAATAATTTAAAAATAAACGTTTATCCATCCACTGCTTTAAGATAATAGTTGATATAATTATACATAAAGATATGAAAATCTTATTAAATAATACAAAAACATTCTAAAATGTTTTTTAAACATTTCTAAAAGAAAAAGAAAAACCAAATCAAATCAAATCAAAAAATAAGAACAAGTTTGAAATGTTTTTCAATGTCTTAGATGTTCCAAAAAAATAAGATCTATGGTAATTTGAAAAGATGGTTGTTATTTGTTTTTCTTGTTTCTTTTCTGCGTTTGTTTTTTTGTTAGAGAGGTTTTCTGGTTAGTTTCAATAAAACATGCTGACCAATAGTTTCATGATTTAACAAAGGCAGTAGGAACACATATGTTCAAGTTGTAATTCTTATTCACAATTTTCCAAACTACACAGAAATGGAAATAAAACATAAGCAGAAAGTAAATTTTTAATGTAATTGGGAACTTCATAGAGACTCTCCCTGTGAGCATATTTCCCATGTGCAAGTCTAAATTATTATTATGATATGCATATTACATGCAAATTTAAAGTTCCCCAAATGTACCTCATCTTAAAGTCATGAATGAAGAGATTTGTGACAAATAGGTTTTAGATGATGTAACTACCCTAGTCCAACACTAATTCAAAATAAGCATGAATTGGATCCCACACCCCCTTTTGTTTCAACCTGATAACAAGCCCATATGTCAAGCTTGGCAGCAAAGACCACCATACTTAAATCTACTATTAAGTGTACAGGAAGTATATTTTCAATTTCAAAAGAAAATGAGCTACACAATATGTATGACCTTCTGCACTTTAAAATGCATGTATATATCATTCCTGTGGAAAGGCAATAAAATGTCTAGATTGAACTGTGAGTAACATTATTAAGTAATGCTGATCATACACATCCACTTGGATCATGTTTCTGGATCATGGACCAGTGGTTTCCCAAGTCCCCCACTCCGTCCACAACAAAACCCATCCCTAGTTATGAACAGCATTTTCATGGGCTGCTACTTTGAACCTTCCAAAAAATAACAAACAAAGTGGAGTAGATTGCCAGAACCCATACTCCCTCAGTAAATAAGTGTTTTCTGGTATTTGAAGTCTGGCTGGTTGGATCTACCCAAGCTGAAGTAAGTTGTGGAGTTTTTGCACTGGGGGAACTCAAGGCCTTTGTTCTTGCTGGTCTGGGGCTCTCCACCTCCTCTGAGTCTGACCTGCTTAGAGTCTTCTCTACTTCCTGATTGCAAGTCCACGAGCTCCTTTGATCTGATCAGTAAATTTCCATGCTCATTGGTGTCAAGAACAACTTGAGACTTGTCAGTCTTCATCATGACAATGTTTACTCAATCACCCAAAAATAGATGCTTCATATACTGAAGGAAACATGTTGAAAACATGTAGACATTGTGTAAACCATGGCATCAGAACATGATTTAAGAGTTTCCAAATATCAGGTATTTGGTGAACAGATCTTGGCTTAAAATTAGGTTTTGGTTAGGTTAGGACAGGCTCCCCCTGATGGTAAGTGGTAATTTCAGTACAGATACAAAGTAGTGTGTGACCATGTACTTCAAATGTAAACCACGAAACTATTTCAGACTTAATTCTGAAATGAATTAGGCTCTCTTTGCTTTGCAAGCAATAATCTCATAAAGCTGCAGGGAAATATAAACATGGAAGGAGGAAGCTCAAGGCAGATGGCTGCTTTTATATCTCTGAGAGTAAGGGCTCAAATACCTGTCATTCCATCCCCCACCCCCAATGACACACACTGTGTCATGGCAGGTGCAGTCACTCATCCAACAGCCATTTTATACAATTAATTACAGAGAACATGACACATGCACAACAGAAATATTTCAGGGTTACCATCCTCTACCTGGATGTAACAGTCAAAGGAACATCATTAACTTGATCATACTAATAAAGCAATTCAAATTGAGTTCAAAACTTTCCATTCAGAAAGGATAATATGTTGTAATGGTGAACTCATCACAATAATCCTTTTCAAAACCTAGAGTCTTATGGGAATGAGTCACAACTACCTTCTCCCTTGCAGAGGAGAACTCAGTTTATACCCTTCTCAATTCTAGTTCATGTTGGATTTTTAGACTTCAACTAGCTATTCATTACTAATAGAATAATGAAGTAGTGAGAGGAAGGTCCCAATTAATTTCCTTTTCAACTAGGTGAAGCTCTCCTGAGGACTGAAACATTTGGGAAAAAACAGGAAGAAAAGCCCCACTTGACCAGACAGTGGGTATAGTGGGTAGGTGCAAAACATTGACCAGATTTCAAGATTATGCATTGAAAATTTACATATCCAAATGCACTAGGAAAATCATGCTAATCGGTAGATTGATAAAGCTTGAGGACATGTTTGACATGTTCTTCCTCACACAATGGTCCCAGGTCTGGAATGGCAGGTGTTTGTGTTGCTATATTTAGACTTAACCTGCTCTGAAAAGAGACTAGGTTGTAATAAATTTCCCATTACTCTACCCTCTTTACTCCTATCCTCTTCTTGAGAACCATGTCTGCAAAGCAGAGACTTGGAGCTCCCTGAGGTGACTAAGTAATCAATCACAAAATTGAACCTTTTAAGGTTATGCATGAGTTGTGACATGAACTTTGTCAGCAACATGGGGTCCCACACTACAGATGGTGCTGAGTAGTTGGGACTTACCAAAGCATGATTAGGAACCTGGTAAAATAAATTGTAGTAGAAGTTCATGTTTTCACGCAGTGTTCTCTCACAGGATTTTAGTGAGAGGAAAATAAGAGTAATCAGACGCCGTCCAATATTCAAAAGAATGAGAATTGCGAGGATGCGCGGGTTCATGAGACACAAATGGACGAGACAGTAACGATGCTGAACAGATGAGGGATTATATCTTACTTGCTGTTATTTGCCCGCTTCTTGTAGGGAGGTGGTTCGCCAGGCTTGTAGGTACCTACTGTACTCTTCGGTGAGAGCTCGGGAAGTGCTCGATGGCTCTTTGCCCCTTTCAAACTTTTAGTAGATTTTTGACAGTATGCCTGCAGTTGGATAGTGTCACCGAAGTAAGCATGTAACCTTGTGTTGTAGGGCTCAGGGCTTAGAGTCAGGTGTACCGCCCATGGTGGAGCATGTTTGAGAAAAATCCATTCTCTATTTGGTTTCCTTGGATCAATACTTGATCGCTTAAAGACTCCCATTAGCTAAAATAAGGCCTCAATCCTGGATTTGAAAAGAAAAGACACTAATTGAGGATATACAGGCTTCTACTGCTTTTCAGCAAGTACTCCTGACGTCTGCACTATTCGTCTTGTAGCTCCTTCATGTTTCAAACTGATGAAATTACTATCCAGGAACAATATTGGCTACTTAAAGAGTTCAAAAGGAAGGAAACCGCATTCTACACGATTCGTCAACCGTCGAAATTAAAATTTTAACTTATTCAAGTGTAAAAAATTAAAATTGTTTCCAAGTGTCTAACTTTTTGGGTTACAGGCAGGATGACAAGGGGGATGACGCTGGTACCACAGCAGAAAGTATTATATTGCTGGCATACCTTTGGAGTCTGCAGTCGCTGATTGTTCTTGAAATTGGAGCTGCCATTGTTTTGACCAAGCAGTTTCGGAGAAAGCGTAGGATTGTTGTAGCTGCTTTTGATGGGTGGTAAAGCATGGCCAAACTCCATGCAAGCCTCCTCAGAGTTGTCTCTTTGTGTAGGACCTACTTCAGGAGCCACATAATTGGAAACTGCTGATCCTGAGGTGTATGTGGCCGGACTATGCATGTCTGCAAAATTGGAGAGAGGGGTCGAGTCTCCCTCTTGAAATATATCCCTCTCATCCTGCATGCGACGTGCATTCTTAAATAAGTCTCACGTTTCTTAGAAGTGTTTTTCGAAAGCAATTCGTCTTTGTTGCAACAACAACGATGTCCAAGCAGTTTTCACCTCCTTGGCAGACTTGGAGGTGCTGCTCATGTTTGGGAGCTGCAAGACACTGGCCATGGACTGTGGAGAACTGCTAGAGCTCAGACTTTGGTTGTTGGGAACCCTTTCGTTGATACTAACCTTCACTATGTCTCGCTGCTTTGTATTCTCGTGAGGCACCACCCTGCCAGCCACATTTCAATTCCCCCAAGCGTTCCATTGAGTCATACGTCACAAAATTCTCACAAGAAACCTTGCTGTGTCTACAAAAAGAAAACTGTGTCAGAATAATGCATATTAACATCTAAAAACGTCTCTCAAGAAATGATGCTTCTAAAGAAAAACAAAAAATAAATAGAAATAAAAACCTCAGACTATTTCGACATTTAGAGAATGAGTCTCAAGGAGGTCGCATCAAATTAGGATCCAAGCTGGAGAAAAATAAACTTAATTTTTGCATCTACATTCAAATGCGATGTCAAGTAATTCATAACTCACCGAGGGGATGGGCGTACGCTATGATTGCGATTTGCGTTGTGGAATGCTTGTTGTAACTTGTCTTTTTCTCGTAAGTCTTTAAAGTAGATGTGCCTTAGTGCTTGCCTGGCAGACAATCTGCAGTATTGAAAGTAAAAAGTGAGAGCTCATTGCACTTCTTAACTCACTTAACCTTCACAAAAGCTTGTAGGACGCCATTGTCACAGGAACTTTAATGGAAAACTACCGGTCGTCAGGATTGTATGCCAGCAGCTTGGTGAGGAGATCCACGCATGAAGCTGAGGCATGTGGGACCAGCCGAGCGATGCCTGTCCCATCCTGCTGAGAGAACTTAAAATCCGCATGTTGTGACCTCCTGCTAAAAGCGCCCACTTAAGCTTTGTTATTACTTGAAACGTCTTGATTTGACAATGCCTTATCTCGCCATCAAATACATAAGTTGCAGCAACTTGCCTTTTCATCTTCTCCAGCAACTGCTGCGGTGGTGTCCCGAGTATCTTGTGTATCTTCTGGATCTGATCTAACTCGTTGTTGCCTGAAATGTCCACCAGCGTTAAAGATGGCAACTTGCGTAGGAGACCATAAAAAGCATGCTTAGGAGATGAATAAAAACAATACGTGCAATTTGAGATAGCGATCTTCATGTGTACATATTTATCAATGTAAGACTTCTTCCATCAGAAAATAGACTGCAATGCCTACGGAGGAATTGAGTTAATGCTTGTTAAAGATATAGTCAGTCAAAATAATGTACCTGGGAAGAGGGGGAAGAGGCTGACAATCTCAAAGAAGACGCATCCCACACCCCACATGTCCATCTTATAGTTATAATATCCGTCCGTCAGCAAGCATTCTGGTGCTCGGTACCTTCATCCATTCCCAATTATATTACGTTACTAAAGTTCAAAATTAATTGCTGATCTTCTTAAGAGTGCTAGAACTAAATCTTGTGCATCACTATTCACAATATTGAGGATAGCCAGCTTGAAATCGTATGCTTCTACTTGTGAAAATCTTGATTTTTGGATGGAACTATTTTAGGTATATTTTCCATCGCGCACCACATGATATTTTGTCTACGACATTTCGTTACCGAGAAACATACTAAGAGATGTAACAAGATCAAGTCTGAAAATCTATCTAAAATAGTTACCAAGATCAAGTCTGAAAATCTTCTTTCGGGTGGTAGAGGATGTCTGAAGTTAGGCATTTTTTCATTTACCGTGCGAAGGAAGAAAATGTAGAAAAAATATTTACCAACGTGTGGAGATGTACTCCGTGTAAGGCTGCTTTGAATACACCCCGCGACAACTTCCGAAGTCCGCAAGCTACCCACACCCTCATAACACTGACAGCATAAGCTTCTTTATGCTCTAAGAAGAGAAAACGAGAAGAACCAACTCATAGTTATGCCATCTGTCACACTAAAAATTAAGATCTGAATGCATTGTAGCGGGAAGCTTTGATGCCAAAAACATGATCTGAATGCTTTTCGGAAAGCATTGTTGCGGAAAAGTTATGAACATTTTCACGATTAAAAGGTAAATTTTTGACTTTTTCAACAGAACGATCTTCAGTAACAACCAACACACACAGAAGAGTGAACACAATGATCACCGTGGAGACAGCATTGAGAGCACCCAGGTTGTAGTATCTTTTCAATATCTAGAATGTCTCAAATTAACTCAGTGACATGATGTCTGCACGATGAATGCAGGTAAAGTAATGCACCTTGAGCACTTCTTCCATGATAAGTATATTTTCTGGTTTTATGTCCCGGTGAAATATGCCATTCCTGTGCATATGATCCATCGCTGCCCAACCACCAGCGAAGGCACATAACTCAAACTTCATTAAATTCGCATTCATAGAGTTTCTTCAGAAGGGCTTCGTGCCGTGTTGAGTTTTACAAATCGAATGGGACAGATTAAGGTGGAAGATAAGCCTGGCTCACAGGGGGTTGTTTTTCAAAGTTCATTTGCTTCAGTGCAATAAGTATTTGTGTGTGTTTTCTATGTAGAGTGCAGGACATTGCAGTTATCAGCTGAGGAGCACGACCAAACCTTTCATTAGCTGATACATGTAACTTTTTATCCGATCTTCGGCCACATAATTGCGTCGTCCTCGAATGAGCTCGTATATGTTCATGTCCATAAGCTCGAACACCAGAGCGAGTCTCCCTGTTGGCTGGTCGCTGCGATTATAAACAAAGGTTTTATTAGTTTCTGCAAGTTTAAGTGGTACGTTATCGTTTCTTCATTATTTATTTATTTTCTGTTCGTTTGTCGTCTTCTTTTCCTTTTCTTTTTTTATGTGTGATTTGGAGGGGGGGGGGATAGAGGGGTGTTGGGAACATGTTCTGAGGAGAAGTAACGTCGTTTAGGCAAGTTCTAATGTTTTCTGATAAATATCGAATGGTCTTCAAAGCAATCGAAGGTATTTGCTGGTGTAACTTATTCCTGATCCTTTTGAAATTAAGCTTTTGGTTAATATTCCCTTTCTGATATAATTTTAAACCAAGCATGTCAATGCAAGGGAGCTTGAAATCGTACTAAAGGACTTCGAGAAGTTTGACAACATTGGGATGAGGAGAGAGCCTCTGCAATGCCTGAATCTCCCGTAAGCTGGTCACCTGGCCACAGACAACCTCCATGTTACATTCGAAACCCTATCAATTTGTAAAGATCGAAAACCAAATAAAGTGACAACCTTCTCTTGATGCACGTTTCCATGCAAACTGGACTTCACAAGTCCAGTAGGACATGCAGATAAGCTTCAGCTTTTTGGTGAAACAAATGGGGATGATCTAAGCCTACTAAGAAAAATGTAAGATTCAATCTGTGACAGATGACCCGGTGGCTGCCATGATACCATATTTATCACACTCCTGGAAAAAGGCAACACAGTGATGCAATGTAAATTCCATGTACCTGACGTAATCAGATTCCCCTCCTCGACGGATGAATTAAACATGGACTAGTTAAGTACACACCTGGTCTATACTGTTGAAGTTGCTTTTCATACACTTGATGGCAACATATTTGCTTGTCTTGATACATTGAGCTTTTAACACCTCTGAAAATGTGCCTTCGCCTTTCTTTGCTAGCATACGATATTCTGTTCGACAGCCACCATTCACCAAAAAAATAACTTAATAGAAGTTACATCAAACCCTCATTTCTTTGAAACACGCAAGCTCGATCTTAATCAAAGCTACGAAACTTCTCAAGTAATGGTGAGAACTTAGTTTTCATTTGTAATGTCTTTAAAGAGTTTGAGGAATTAGTCAGTAAAGATTGGTATTTTCACAACTCTTCGCCTAAGCAGTGCAGTTCGTGAAGAGAACCACAAGATAATGATGTTTCTCAGGCCTCAAGCTTGATGAAACCTTCATGCATAGTAGCTACACGGTCACCTACACCTATAGTGCATTGATTACATTGGGATAATGTAATTCAACGCACTGTTAGTTAAACTGCTGGGAGTGCAAATCTTGATCATGTTCTTGATCACAGGGCTGTGGTCCAGTCGGCACATGTTGATGCTTCCTCTACATATTTTTAAAATAATTTCCACATGCTTTCATAGACAAAGCTTCGCCATGGGAATTTGAATAAGGGAGAGGATGTTCCTTCACAAACGAGACCTTATAAGAACTTTTTTAGGAAAATTTTCCTTTTCAGATCTGATAGGTCTCAAACCAGCCCTTGACAGTGAGTTTCAAGCCAAAAACTTGCCCATGATTGAACCTCTCAGTACTAACATCCGCTGGACTTACAATCATCACTTGTAAAGGGGTGCATCAAATTTCCATTACTGTGCATTGTGCTTCCGTTGGAATAAGGGAGATATTTGTCGATGCCCAAGGTTGCTGCAGCAGAAGGGCTCCGAAAGGGATTCGAGGAAGATCAGCCTGGACATGGCGCTCCGCACGCACTGCACTCTCACATCCCCAAATCGCTCCCTTTGTCACCCTCAAATGCTTCATAGCCTGTCTCTTCGCCTCATGCCCCCTGACCGTAGATATAATTCGAAACCCTACAAACACAAACACACAAACAAGCAACATACCATCTTTCTTATATACTGCAAAATTCCAGACAAGACGTACAGGAGATAAAAATTTCAAATAAATAACACTCGCTCCCTCCCCTTCCCTTCAATGGCAGAGCAATCACAGTCTCCTCTATCTTGAGACATAATTTACTGGTTTCCATGGATCTACGGAATGTATTCACCATCCTTACGGATTTTCTCCAAAGCACATAACCAGAAGAACGATGAAATATATTCCGAGATTTCATGAGGACAAGTGAATTATGTCACTTAGCAATCAAACCCCTGATAAAAAGTCGACGTCATTGCTACGGAGGTACAATGTGAGTGATTGTATCTCAATTAGCACACTATTGTGGCATCATTTACGCGATCACAACAAGAATACCGATACGAAAACGCACTAAATCCACGGAAAATATTGCTTAAAATTTGAAACAAATAGAAATGTTAGACTCACGACAATAACACCCAGGAATAGGAGAACAACCTTGGATAAGAGTAAGGCGGAAGGGTGAAGCAAAACGATACTTCACTTAAGTTAGAGAAGAGTTGCTGGAGAAGAGAGAGGCAAAGAGCATGGGGTATGTACATTTCCAGGGAGTGTTCTAAAGCGGTTAACCATCAGGATGGATCCGATGAAATGAACAGCGTTGGATTAAAAAAAAAAAATAAGCTATTTGTTGATTAGTGCCATGGTTAGTGACTTCTCACCGGAACTAAACCCGCTCGGTTGCGACGTCCGTCAATTCCGAACAACATCGTCTCCGCATCATCGACTCTTCCCGCTCCTGCAAGGAACTAACCACTTCTCTTTTCCTTTTTGCACCTCCCCTTGCCATCTCTCTCTCTCTCTCTCTCTCTCTCTCCATTCCTTGTGCCTCTCCACTGCCAGCACTTCTTCAACAATGCAGTCTCCATGGAGTGTTCTGGTACTTCCTGGCCACGCCTTCCTCGCCATCTCTCTGCAAGCCATGCGTTGTCTATGCGATATGTAAGATTGCAGGCACCGAAAAGTCCATCACTACTCTCTCTCTCTCGCTCAAAGTATCTCCATCCATAGTATCAGTCATAACAAGTTCTAATTCTCTTCCGCGTCCATAATTCTCTTCAGCACTGGTGCAACGCGACGATGAAGCGGAGGGGTGCAAGGGAGCTATGGAAGGCAACAAATTATTCCGCAACAGTGGCGATGCAAAGCTGATCACACAGAGCAACGCCGAGGTGAAACTTCAATTGACGGGCACTCTCCTCAACCCCCTAATGGATGGATGAATTATTGGATTAATGTTTGGAATAGTGGATGGATGGATGGAGTGATGGATATATAATTTTCCGTCGACGTTGGATGTGTTCGTTCATCTTTCATCCATATCTCTGTTACAAGACTTCTTCCTGCAGTTTTGTTGATGCTGATTCCGGATTACCCATAAATTGTTCTAAAAATAAAGTTTTTTATTTTATCTTAGCTAGCACACAGAAAAATAGGAATAAACTACGATCACAATAGTATTTAAAACAAACTGAAACCATGTAATCTAATTATTTTGGGTAAAATCATATGTGCACATAATATTTAATAACAATTAGTTGTCAATGTACCTTTTTCATTTCCATGATTTTTATTATTTATACCACAAATGATCTAAAACTATATTACAATGAAAATAGATTAATGTATGGTTCTCTGTCCATTTACAGACAGAGATAAGGTGGTGACCAATACGCATATTTGATTCATATATTGTTTATTCAGCATTGTTGGTAAAAACTTCACAAAGACTGAGAACACGAATCTTAGAATTGCTTCAAAGCTATGAATTAAATTCAAACATGTGTTTTCATAAATAAGTAAACAAAAAATAAAATAGGCATGGAACAACACAAATCTTTACTTCCATTTCATAACATAATTCCACTTTAAAGATATCTACCATTACGATTTGTGATTGAAGTGAATAGATTTTTACTTCAGTCACAAATGAATAAAATACAATCCTCTCTGTTAATTCTAAAGATCCTGATGACGATTGTCGAAAAAAACATAGAAATGAAAAATATTTAGATAATTGTGAAACCATTATGAGACATGGAGCACCACAACAACAATCATGCGAAGAAAAGGTGGAAACGAGTTCCATGTTGAGAATCAAATGACATTTTTGCAGTATGAAATGATCGAGAATATCCTTCCATCACTTTTGAAATGGATTCCATCACAACTGCACCAGCTTCCACATGTCTCAACACAATCCACATGGGATTCTCATACGAACTTTGAACCAAACTCATTTACTTTTATAGCCATCATTCTCGATAAAGATGGCCCATCCCAATCAAGGTGCCACAGTGCCAGAGGGTATGAGGGCAATAAATATTCTCCTAGATATTTCGACTCAGGAATGTGACTGGTAACCAAGCAACATCAACCTGGATTAAATAAAAATCACATTTCAATCTCAGAGGTAAGCTTCAATATAAAAAAATGGACCAAAAAAAAAATTAAAGCTGCACGTCTTCAAAGCTGTTTTGAAGTTTGACAGTGTGAAAACTAGCAGCTGCGTTACAGTATGCAGAAACTAATATAGAAAAAATAATACGTAGCAACCAACATTTCCAGAAGCCGCTGCTCAACACACTAGCCATCTACAGAAGGGGAGCGTAACGACTGTTCGTACCCATTGATTATAATCTAGAATAGTCTCAACCACATCTTGGTTCACGTCAGCAACTCTTCAGCTGTTACCCCGGGAGACTAAGTGGGACGACAATCAAGACACGAATCTGGTCATAGTAACGTCCATTTACATCAAATTTGATTGTCTTGTATTGTAAACCACCTTCAACATGCAGGATGTGATAACGCTGCGAGGATCACACACCTAATCCATGATATCATTCCAGCTCGATTAGTGCTCCTGGACCACACTCTCCGTCTAGCAGCTCTCAGGTACAGACATGTCCGTCCATTAAGAATGGAGCAATCAGACTAAGAGTCAACGCATGTAACTCTTAGAACAGCTTGGGCAGTAGCAGCTGGAAGACTTTTAAAACAATACTGCTCCCAATGGTCTTGCTTTGATGTTGGAACTTCACTTTCTGGAAAGTTTGAAATTGTGATCTCAGGGGAATTTCTGCAATATATTACATGCAAGTAAAGTAACAATTTACGAGAGGCATCTCGAGCTTCTGGGAGCCTGTCATTCAACTGCGCAGCGGCAATCTTTAATAAAGACTCAAGTCCAATTTGGTCGATGTCCTCAACCCCCTGTCATCATACACAACGGTTTTCAGATACGATAATATACATACATTATCAACTAAAAAACGTCAGACGCACAATTCTACATTCACTTAAAGATACAACCCTATTCGACCCTAGATAAAGCAGAGAAACACATTAGGCATAACTGTTCAGATGGTGAACGACATTTTTTGAGATATTCATTATAAAGAGCACCATGAGCAAGTGGGTTCGTACCAGCCTTGTCGCCGAATTGTAAACACACACAGATGCTTTAGCCCGTATTTTTGGATTGTTGTGCTTAACGTATGGCTGCAACTTTTGCAACATAGGTTGAGGAGGAATCCAAAGGGTCATAACTTCAAGAGTTCTCTCAGCTTCTTCGCAAACAAATCGTTTGTCTTGTGACGCCTTTAATAGGAGTTGCAACAACTGTAGAGACACTTGCTCATGTCAAACTTCGTAGTGAGCTTAGCAGCCACATAACCGGCAAAATCCAGACCCATAAATACATCTAGATGTTTCCTGTGACGAAAACTAAAGTAGAGCGAAATAAATTAAAATAAGTGTACACAATCTCAAACCCCATTAAGACCCGAAAAACACCCAGGGGTCATAAAAAGCCTGCACTAATCGCAATTTAAGAGATCGAGATACGAAGGAAGCAATTAAAATGAAAGATAATGATCAGCATTTTTGCAGGTTCTGGAGAAAGAGAGCTTGAAGCATGCAAGTACCAAAGGATCCAGAATATCAAGCAAGTGCTCGTGGTAGCTCTTGAAAATATCTGCACACGCCATAATTGCCGTCTTACACAGGGCGCTCCGCGGATTCTTCACGGATTTAGTCACCAGCTGTACAACTCCACCTCTGGCAGCGCAGAACTTAAATTTTTTAAAAAAAAATACAATCGAACGAAGGATTGCTAAGATGGTTTGGGAAGACTACACGTCTTTACGTAACCACAAGTTAATTTCGAAAATGGAGCTCTAAAAAGTAGCACACAACGTCAGAAACCTGCACAAAACAGAAATGCGCTTCAAGAATTACACCAACAGATGAACCAGTCACATAACGGCATAGGAACTCTTCAGACTTTAAAAAGGAAATCGAGCTCACAATATAGGCTGCATCAACTCCGCGTGAAAGATGGCCAGTTGCCGAACATTGGTAAGAGCCTCTAAGACCACTAACCAATCTTTTGAATCGAGTCTTTCCAGCAGAGTCTAGAAGATGACAACAGGTCATTAGATTATCGCTAGCACATCCAGCGCACTCAGGTAGCTAGCAGCTACAAAAGGAGTCAAGGTGAATGTGCCATGTGCAAAAAAATTGAAGAGGACGGCTAGACCTAACAACCAATTGCCTTAATACATGTAAGATAAACGAACAGCGAATGGAACTACATTTGAGAAAGACAATCTCACTGTGACAAAACGCACAAACGTGTCTGCAGACAAACATACGAAACCACGACACAAGAGCCAGAGAAGGCGATGCTCGGTTTCGAAAGAGCTACTGCTACATGTTGTCCAAAACTCCACAATCCACATCGTTGAAAATCAAGCAGAGTGATTTGACGATTAGCTCTGGGATACTAAACGTGCGACGATGCACGAACGGGAGGAAAAGGAAAGAACACTTACTTCAAGTTGAGTGTCAACGTCACTCAAGTCTTTCAAATTCTCGGACAAAACATACTCCACCTCAGCCAATACTGGTTCAGCTGAGGATTCAGCAGAAGGCGCGGGGGTTGACTTCAAGGTAGTGGCCATCTCCTTTTCATTGGTAGAATCCGACTTGGCTAACATCGTTCAATGCTACAGAAACGCACTCAAACTCCCCCGTCCTGAGCGCAATGTCGGGCAGAGACGACCCTGTGCTACCTAATCAAGCATGGCAGCTGCAAATCGTCACACACGACACACACACACACACTCCGCCTTAATCGTTTGAAAATGATGACAGTGCTTGTTAACTACCCGCTGCACAGTAATGGAGAACTACCTACGCACAAAAAAAAGCTGACTAGCGACATGTACTTTCACCAGCACAGGACAACATTCTGACAACTATCATTACTCAACCAAGCTCAAACAAAATATACTAATTCATGCAAGAAGGCTCAAAGGATGTTTGCGAGGAACGTGAAGGGGAGGGGAAGAGCTTGCGGACCTGAGGATGAAGCGCGAAGACGTTCCGACGGCAGCAGAGAAGAACACGCAAACTCAACAACTGGAGCAACCCTAGCAAACGTATGCACACATCATGCGAAAGAGCATCGAGAAGAAACAGCAAAAGTATCGACGGCGAAAAGGAGAAGAAAGGCCACAATCGATGCGAGGGGGGCGGTAGAGTTGGACCAAGGGGTCAGCAAGCGAACAAGGGAATAATAATAATTATAATAAGAAGAATAAGAAGAATAATAAAAATAAAAGAGGCGAAGTGACAACAGCAGCAGCCTCTCCGCGGCAATTTTGAATTATTAATCTAGGTGGACTGACTTCCTCTGTTCCCCGAGTTCCCTTCCTTCGTTCTCTTGTTCCCTTGCCGCTGTTCCCTTTCCATGGATGACGACGCTTTTCTAGGAACATTCCTCGTTCCCACGGAGGAGACCCGGTCCTCATCCTAAATTATTCAGTTTCATCCGACGGATTTCATGGAACGCCACATTAATTGAAGGAAGCAAACAAAATAAACTAACAACTGTATGAACTCAAATGTGGACCTAAAAATGAGGAATGGTGAAGAGGGAAGAAGGGGATGGATGTGATTGTTGTGACAGCCAATCCGATGTGATTGGCAAGGGAGCAAGCTGTCAGCAAACGAAGACACACGCTCCACCAAAGGTGCTCATGAGTCCACAAACAGGGCTCAACTTGGAGACGGCGCGAGATGGCAATGGGATGAATCCCACCCAATATAGTATAACTACACTGGAAACGTAGAGCACTTGTGTACCCCAATACCTGCCAAGGCCCTTGTTCCATGCGGTTTTGTCTTAAAATATTGGAATGGGCAACGTTCTCACTAGCCCTACAAATTAGGTTCTCGTACTGTCCTATTGGCTAGCACTGGATTTGTGTTGAGCCCATTTCTTATCTCTACAAATGGTTGTTGTTACTAAAATCCCCCTTTGTTGTATTTTTTATTAGTTATGGTTTGATGAAAATCAAAAATCAAAAATCATGTATTTTTTTACTTTTAGAATATTTGAAATACAACCACGTTGAACTAAAAGATATCGAACCATAGAGATATTTTTTCTGAGGAATTGGTTCCCTTTACTATTTTTGTTTTGAAAATATAAATCTCATTCTTGGTGATGTGCGGCATTCTCCCACAAAAAAAGGTTTCACTCATTAATAACAATGAAAAAAAATACCCAATTATCATTTAGATTTGAGTTTTTTGAATGATGCAGATTTGAAGATTGTATGAAATTATACACTTCACAATTTTGCAAGAGATATGATTATATTTTCAGATACTTAAATTCCCATGAATAAACTGTGGGAGTACTTTTGAAGATAATTAGAAATTCAAAATTGTAATACTCAAGCAATTATTAAGTATGTAAAGAGATAAAATCCAAACATTCAATCAAATATAGTACTTGATAACAAAAAATTAAGTACTCAAAAATCCAAAAATCCAAACCAAAAATAGAAGCTTTTTTTTGCTTTTAATAATCTTGATGATAACTAACTAACTAACTACACACACACACACACACATATGTATATATATATATATATATATATATTCATGAATAGATAAATATACTTGAAAATGAATCCACTTTCAGAGCTAACAAGTTACAATTTCATAGCATTATAGAAGATTTCTTTAAAATATACAAATAATGATAATAATGTCTTAATAACTTCTCATAGCTTTTTTAACATAAATATACAGCATCTATTATTATTTTTGGTTATAGATTAGGATTCTACTAAAATATTCAAACATATTTATTAGTTGTAAAAAAAATTACAAAAGCAAAAAAAATTTTAAAAATCTTTCAATGATTTATAACTATTATATCTTTCAAAACATTTAATAGAGTGTGTTAAATCCTAGGTGTGTAAAGACATATATAATCAAGTGCAAATAACAAAAAACAAACATAGCTCAAAATTTCTAATAATTTCCAAATATCAATATGTTGTACATATTTACCAAGAATTTTAAAATTTCAAACTGCCAAAGTTGATTTTGTTAAATTCAATTCAAATTTTATTTGAGTTGTGTAGGAATCCAATGTTTTTATTAGAAAATTGTTAAATTTACCCAATTATTTACTAAATTGACCCACCCATCCTAACCATTATCTCAAAATTCTCCACTATCACATCTGCATTGGTCAAAAACCAATAAAAGGGTCCTCAACCGATGACCATAGGTGGGTTGATTTAGTAAATGCATGGGTAAACTTAACAATTTTATTGATTTATTTGATTTTTTAGTTTTTTTTGTCAATACGTGTTTGAAACTTGAAAGGTTTGGGAAAAAGGAAAAGGAAAATAAGATAAAAAATAATGAGAAAAAAAATCCATTTATATATGTATTGATGAAAAACTACAAGGACAAATTACACACGCTGAAACGGGGCAAGTGTGAACAAACGAATGAAAAACATCCACGCACATATAGAGGCGCAGCGCCAGGAAGACACCCCACCAAGGCACGGCACACTGAGTTACCGTCCACTGCAAACAAAGCAAGACCAGTTAAGTAAACCCGCTAAACCCTCAAAAACCGGGACGGAAAACGAACTCTATTCACACTGGCATGCATCGGAGAGTGGCATCGAGCCGTGCGGAGTGAAGAGCACCGCAAGAGCACAGAAAGCATGCGGGAGAGAGAATGAGTGCAGGCAAGAGGAAGAGGAGGAATCTCACCAGTGCGAGAGAGCGAGAGAGAGCGGGCAATGGATTGCGTTACCTTTCCTCGCCTCTTCATCGCCCTCTTCTCTGTTGTGATTCTTCTCTGTCGCAGAAGTGGAAATTTCCAGGCGTGATTTTATGGCTTTCTTTTGGTATGATTCTTCCGATGCACCTCTCTGTTGTTGCGAGTAAGGCCATTGTCGCATTTGAGCCGGAGAAGCCATTGTGGCTCCACAGGTGGAGTTGATTTTCATTCCAGCAGTTGCTTCCCCATCGTGAGCGTCTTGTCCTGGCTTGGCTTTTGCTCACAGATTTTACAATTTTGGGTGGGGGGGAGGGGGGTGGTACTTGGAAGCAGTTCCAGGTTAGGGTTCGACGTAGTGTGTGAGGTTCAACGATGGGGACAAGAAGGCGATATTCGTCGTGTTGAGAAGGAGCAGGGTGATTTGTCTAGACTGGCACTGGTCGCAGTTGGTTCGTAATTGTGTCTGGTCCCGTGGCATCGTGGTGGTTGACAGAGTATGGCTGAAGAGTGAATTGGGGGGTAATTCGTGGAAGTGCTCGTTGTTTTTTCTGTTCCCGTATTCGAGAGAAGTGGGTGTGTGGTGCGCTAGGAATGATGGTGTGAGGATGTAGCTGTTGATGAAGAATTTCTGATGTGGAGCAGGTGAAGTTGTTGGAGATTTCTAGCATTTGAAGTCATGCCGACAGAAGGATATTATCGGTGAGGAATAGCTCGGTTAGGTGCCTTGTGTGCAGCTCCCAAATTGGATGCAGGGTGGGGCGAAGAAGCTCTGGATTGGAGAGGCGTGTAGACAAATTCATCATTGTCGGAAATTCATCTGTAGAGGATGTAAGACCCGTCTCAAAACAAAGACTGATATAGGGGGGTATTGCGTACATGGATCATGAAGGTTGCAGTAGTGGGGGCATGTCAGCCCCAACGACATACACTTTTGCATTCAATGACAGTAATTTTTCGGATCGGGTGCTTCGGATCGAGGTGGTGGCCGTGTCGGAGAAGAACGATGCAGGTAGTGCAAGTTCTAGACAGAAGAAACGGCGACGTGCTCATCGCCATTCTGAAGCAGGTTCGGTCTGCGGTCCGCGTGGATATAATTATTGTTTGAAATGATAATATTCTTTACTTGCGGCATTATATGGAAGCAGTCTTTTCCTGAAGAAGAGTATTGGTTAATGCGAGGACGTGAAAAAATATTTCACAGTTGTAATTTAATCATCAGTTTGTGCTCTTCATTTTTTCCCATTTTGTTTCTCGTGTACGTATCGACAAGGAAAATCATTTCGGGATTGAATTGCGAACTTCCGTCACCTTGCTATGACCAGTTTTCTCTGGACAACCCAGTAATTCAGCTTGAAGAACTACGCGTCTTGATTTAGATACTAGAGACGAATTATGTCTTTGTAATGACACATCGTGCATCTTGCCTCACGATTACTAATAAGGTCTACACTGACCCAACGTCTGGTCTACCGCTCTTTATCACTGTGTTGCTCTCGATAACGTAGCTGACATAGTTTGTAACATTGTTGATTTCTTGTCTTGATTATTGCGGAAGGTTTTGTCCTGTCGATAAACAGAGACATAGAGTTGGGCTTGCCCTCAATAAGCTTAGTGCGTGACATCAGTTGACTAATTTCTCGTTCAACTGCTGGGACTTGTGACCTTTCGAGTATTTGTTGTGTTTGAATTTCGTAGCGTATTGGGTGCAATTGAAAAAGCTGCGAATTGTGTAAATCATATGTTTATGTATGATGTAGCATGCGACTGATTTGCTTTCATGGCAGTCGTGGAGGGCGTGTCAAAGTTATTAGGTGGTCCTGTGGAAGCTCAACTAGGAGAGGGACAAGAAGAGCAGGTCATGTATGTCGGTGAAGATGTGGCACCTCAAGAAGCCGACGAAGAAGCCGTGGCCATGATAGAAGAGCCACATGGAGTCAATAGCATGTTTTCAGCACTTGGAGGTGAATTCTTTATGCTGTGCACGAAACCCAAACAATTCTATTGCATTTTCTATTAAGCAATGCTGAATTTGAAAGCCTTTGACAAGGTTTGCTGAAACTTGTCGCAGACTCTTCGTATAGTTTTTCATCTACTAAAGATGATAGCAGTGTCTGTATATGTTTACTCAGGCAACTTGATCCCATTTTCTCAAATACATGATCGACGTGCCGGGTTTAAAAAATCATTGTGTACGATACCCATAGGATTCAACCACCTTCGTAACATCAGAAAATTGGAACGAACTCTCGACAGAAGTCCTGTCTAGGTTTTAGGATTATCAGTGGCATCAAATTAAGGTTTGGTTGCCAAATAATTTGCTGAAGCCAATTGGGCCTGATTTAAGATACATCATATTCCTATAGAATGATGCCCTAAATTATTTATGTTGACGGAAAGGTACAGGATGAATCATACGAAAGCGCCCTAGTGTGTGGTTTGAGCACATTTTGTATGTGTAACGGCTTTTGTGCATGTCAATGTTTTGATCCTGGACTTGTATAGCTTTACCAACACGTGAGTAGTTTGCGTTTTTAACTCCCCGCCTCTGGATGCTATGACAATTCAGACAAGTAATGTTTGTACTTGGAAATTGCGGATTTTGCCTTTCTACTGGTACATTGAAATATAAGGGGAGTTTATAATAAATTAAGCACAGATTCTTAATAGATTCTGCAGGGGACGACGGTGGGGCATCTTCAGGAACTTGGAACATGGATACATCTGTTGTTCTTAGGAGCAAAACAATACACATCAGCTCTGCCATTTTGGCTGCCAAAAGCCCTTACTTCTACAAGGTGTTCATCTCTAATTTTTCCTCATGATCAATATCTGTTCTGGTCAGTCTGCAGCTTTCTGTGTAACTCACCAAAAGTTTTTATTTTTTATTTTTTATTTTATTTTATTTTATTTTTTTATAGATGTAGCATGCCTCTTTATTGCATTAAATGTGGCTCTTATTTTCTGGTCTTAACTTTATTCCTTTTGGGTGAAGCTCTTTTCTAATGGGATGCGAGAGTCAGAGCAACGTGACGTTACTCTTCGGATTACCCAAGCAGGTGGGCATTTGTGTGTCTGTTTTCTAGGATTCAGTAGCTTTCCTACCAGTAACCTTCTGTACTCCTGTCTTCTCTGTAAAGAACCGACTGGGAGTAGCTTGGTCGTATTCCATTCTTGAATATTAAGCGTGATCTGTGAGCTAATTTTCATCGAATCAACACGAGTAATTTATAAATGGGCGTTCTGCGTGATATGCAAAGGAGATGCATCGATTGCAATAGATTTATCCATAGACAATGCCTAATACGTTGGGTATAGGTTTGGTCATTTTAGTGCTAATTTGACTTGGTTTTGACCTACAGAAGAATCACCGTTGATGGACCTACTTCAGTTTATGTACAGTGGAAGGGTTCAGGCAAACACTCCAGCCACTGTGCTAGATGTTCTTATGGCGGCTGATAAATATGAAGTAGCAACCTGTATGCGGTACTGTAGCCGATTGCTCAAGAACATGCCAATGACATCAGAGTCTGCTTTACTCTACCTTGAGCTTCCGTCAAGTATTATTCTTGCTGAGGCTGTACAACCTCTGACAGACGCAGCTCGTACTTATTTGGCTAATTGCTACAGAGACATTACGCGGTAGGGAGTTCAAACTTGTGCTTATTGTTCGCTCTTTTAGCTCTAGAATCATTTTGTTATTGGCTCGACTGAATAGATTAGTTGATTGGGATTTTGTGCTTGTTGTTTTGCAGATTCATTGACGATGTTATGGGATTACCTCTTGCTGGAGTTGAAGCAGTGCTTGCAAGCGATGATCTTCAAGTTGCCAGTGAGGACTCAGTTTATGATTTCGCTGTACACTGGGCACGCCACCATTACCCCAAACTAGAGGAACGTCGAGAAGTGTTAGGCTCACGACTAGTGTGGCTGATTAGGTTTCCTATGATGTCAAGCCGGAAACTTCGGAAGGTGTTGACTTGCACAGATTTTGAACATGAATTGGCATCGAAGTTGGTCCTCGAGGCACTCTTTTTTAAAGCTGAGCCTTCACATCGACAACGTCAGTTGGCCATGGAGGAGACTATGCACAAACGCTATTGTGAACGGGCATACAAGTATAGACCAGTAAAAGTAGTCGATTTTGACACATCGTCTCAGTGCTTAGTGTATTTAGACTTGAAGCTTGATGAATGCCGTGCCCTGTATCCTCAAGGGCGTGTCTATACCCAGGCTTTCCATTTGGGTGGCCAGGGCTTTTTCTTGTCTGCTCATTGCAACCTAGATCAGCAGGGCCAGTACAAATGCTTTGGACTCTTCCTTGGGATGCAGGTATTTATCATAGGCCACCAATTTACTGGTGATCGTGAGTTTGATTTTGTTTTAATGTTCTCTTCACACAGTTTTTTTTGGGCCAGTTTTCTACCTTTGGTCTTTTTGGGGTCTAACATGGGAAGTCTTTCTTGTATACATTCGTATCAAGAGCGCTGAAACCATTTCATTCACAATTGTCGACAGGAAAAAGGGTCTGTGAGCTTTGCCGTTGACTACGAGTTTGCAGCAAGAATGAAGCCTACCTGGGAGTTCACGCCCAAGTCGAAAGGTAGTTACGTATTTACGGGTGGCAAGGCAGTAGGATATCGAAACCTATTTGGAATGCAGTGGCAGGACTTCATTGCTGAGGGTTCGCCTTACTTCCGTAACAATATTGTTCATCTGCGGGCAGAGCTTACCATCAAGAAGTCGCCAAGCGGATGATTTTCGAATGCCACGCATATGTATAAAATAAACAACTCAACCAGGTCAAGAGCTTAGATGCTTTTCTTATTCTGATGACCCGAAAGAAATCACGATGGACATCAACGCCCCATTTTCACTCTACTGAACCCTCGATGTTATGAGACACATTTTGCTAGCTTTGCTGAAGGATGGGATCAATTGTTCTTTTGGGGCCGTACTAAGAATTTGCACGAATGATCAAGTGGTTGTTCTGTCAATGATTCTTTCGTACTTAAAAAGTGATCCTTGGAGGTTTCGTTATTGTTTGATACATTGGTGCCCCAACTTTCGCTATTTTCCGGTATACATGCTTCGGTGAAGACCTCATCCTGGGAGCTTCTTGTTACATGGAATCTCTGGCTTCACCGTAACACCTACACCTATGCCAAGTAAGTGGGTTGTATTGCTCGTTGGACTTGGTGATGAGTTGCAAATTGAGTGCAAACTTGAATACATGTGATGCTTCAAAATGAAGCACACGAAGGTTGATACTTAAAACCCTTGTTGGAAACCAAAAGAGAATTGAATAGTGTTTGGAAATCTCTCTTTTAATTCTGATGAATAGCTCTAGCAGACGATGAAACTTGAGAACTCTATTTCGTTGCAGGAATCATCACGATGATTTGGAGGATATGCTAATTGATCCGAAATGGGTGTTTGCAGATTTGTTTTGTCGTTGTCAGGATCTAAAGATCCTGTACATAAGGAAATTTTAGTTTAATATTTTTGAAGATCAACAAAAAAAATCGTGCATTTATAGTTCAAAGAATATGTTGAATATTTCGCATAAAAGTTATATGTAATTCGCTCAAAGCTATTTTTGTATCTTCTTGTGAAATCAATTTCAATCCGATTAGTAGAATTTACAGGTGTGTATGTAGTAAAATGGAGTGTGTTCTCTGATTGGTTGAATTCTAATTGATGAAGAGTCAATTTTCTGAGTGGCTGAACTCCAACTGAATTTCATCTGATATGTGACTGGCCGATTTTTTTGAACTATTTTTATTTATAATTTTTTGAAATATTTGCCAGAACTCATGATTGCAAATTTTTCAAAAAAATTCAGCCTATAACATAAAAAAAATTCAAAATATCTACAATGGTATTGACATATTATAGTCTATAAATGATAAATAGTTCTATTGAAGAATAAAATTCTTGTAAGGCTCAATTAGCATGGCCTGCTAAATGGATCTCATTTCTAGAATGTATGTTTATACACATTCATACGTGAATGTATTAACTAAGCATGAATGTAATTAGCATCTTCAAACTTGTATTTCTAAATACTGTCATCTGTGGAAGCATTCTGTGTGTTAATAGCTTGAAAACTCTGCATTGTTTTTAGTTTTATCTACAAAATCTTACATATTAAAATGAAAACTCACCAGTAACTGTACTAAATTAAGGAATGTCCTTTGTTTATCAAAATTTTAGATGTTTTATAAAATCATAATAAAAGAAGCCATTTCTAATTTTCTAATTTTCTAGTCTTGAAACTTATAAAAATTACCATAATCTACATTAGTACAAACGATTCTTTATTCACACAATTTTTACTAGAAATTTATTTAAATAAAAACAGATAGGTCGGGGTTCTCTCAACACTTATCTGAATGAAACAAATGTATGAATCAAACTGGTTTTCAAAAATAGAAAAGACCTATATAGGCACTTTCTATAAACCAATACACATTAGCAACATGCTAATGCATTTGCTAGAAATGCCATTTTACTCTACATGAAAAGCTTTGTTTAATTTTTTTTTGCATATAAAAAAACTTGTGCTAGAATCCAAATTATTATTAATCATAAATGACGACAAGATTATCATTTGGGTTGTGAAAATTTCTTTTCGTGGTAGTTGTAGTAATTTGATTTGAAATATTGGCATTTTTGGATTTGAGCTCCAATTTGAGCTTGAGACGCTTAAGTTGTTCTTCTGTTTGCAAAAGAACAAGTTTCCATGCTTCTACTTCTTTTATTGTTTCTTGTACTCCTGCAATGTCATCTACTGCTTGTTTCAAATAATTTTCCTCATTTTCTTGTAGATTCTTGTTTTGGTCTACAAAATATTCCATTTTTATTCTTATTAATGTTAATTTCTTATTAAAAATAATTTAAAATTATAGAATTATATACCATTGTATGTGTAGAAATAAATTTTATATAGATGGAAACATTGTTTTTATAATTAAGAATGGAGCATTTTATTTATGTCAAGATTTAAATATATATATATATATATATATATATACATACACACATATACATATACATTTATTTTTATTTTTTCCAGTTTTATGTCCTTAGCCTAATAAATTCTAAAGGTTATTTTTTTACCACATGAAAATCACATATTGATTACATTCACTTTTGTTTTTTCGCAAAACATTGTTATGAGGTGTGGCAATAAAACTGAAATTCCTAACATGTATGAGTCTATCAGATACAATTTAATTGATCTACTGTGGAATGCTTTTGTTGCTAAAACAGGCATAATTTTCATACCATCATTTCCTTTTAAGTCATTGATTGATTCAAAATTTTTACATATAATTCCAATGAGAATTTGAATATCAGCTAATTGAGCACCCTTAGCAATTAAACCCCATGCTTCACAAACAAGAATTTGAAGGTCTTCATATTTTGAACGCTTTGTATTTTTCAAAATTGACATTGCACAATAAAGTAGAAGTTCAAGCCTAGATATATTGTCACATTGACTTGCTTCTTTTAATAGTGATTTCCAGTATGAAATGAGGTCTTTCTGTACACATTTCAAGTAAAGTGATGTAATTATCATACAAAACATAAAATAAAATAAAATAAAATATTTTGAATAAAACTAGAATGCATTTTTTAAAATAAACATAATTATATTTTATTCATAAATAAATAAATACAAGGTAAGCTAATTGCTTCTGAGGTATTTTTTTAGAAATTAGAATTAAGGTATCTTTTATTACAAAGAGGACCATGTATTATATATATATATATATATGAACGTAAAATGCATATACATTATTTTTAAAAAAAATTAAGTTTTCTACGTTGTAATTTATTAATATTATTATTTTGTGTAGAAAATTTAATAAGGAAAGAAAAATATGAATCTAACCTTTGCATCACAACTTTGGCACCAATATTCTCCATCAAGGTTTCTCATGGAATTGAACCCCACAAATCCCACCTTGCTTGCACATTGTAAGTGTGTAATATGTATACATTCTACACATTTTAACCAAAATATAGGCTCTCGAAGTGGACCTGTATCTTTGCATATTGTACACATACATCCATGGCAAAAAGTATTGTCATTGCTACAAGTAAAACATGGACAAAATGTTTCTTGAATTCCTTCAAAAACATTAGATGGTTCTTTATTTTTGTTGTTGCACCAATTGTCATCTTTTTCATCTTCATTATTGCAAACAAGTTGATTTTGTTCTTCAAACCTTTAGATCAATGTACAAGAAATGATTAATTCAATGGTTACAAAAAATAAATTATTGCATCAAACAAACCTAAAAAATAATAATAAAAAGACTTCATTTTTAAAATAACATACTAAGTATCTTTATCACACAATGTGTGTGTGTGTGTATATATATATATATATATATATGTCAGTTTTAATAAACTAGAATTATTTCTCTTGCATACTGTAAAGACTTATCAATAGTTTTATAATACAAATCTGTTTCTGAAATTCTCCCATATGTGTAGAACACTGTGTTGTGTTTTAATATGAACTCATTCTAAATTTGATTGATATGACATATATACGAAATTTTAATTATGTTGAATTTTAATAAAATATAAATCATACATGAGTTCATTGCTTAATTTCATACTTTGTTTGTCATTTATAGATCCATTCAAGTGTGTATGATTACTGCTTGATGATTCACTAGAATATAATTTCAAAGTATCTTTTTTTGTAGAGATCCATTTTACGGCTTTATTAAAATTCTTAGTTAATAAACCGGTATTTGACAAATTCAAGCTTTTGGGTCCATTTTCCAACAATTCACTTGATTTTTTTTCAAAAATACAAAAATAATTTTTGTTTTTGCATGTCCATTCTGTACACAATTTGATTAGTATTTTTTTATGAAAGTTTAGAGGAGGTTGTTGATTTCGAAGCAAATATACAAAAGCCCTTAGCACAATTTTTGGGTAATATTGCAACCTATCATGAGTTAATGGCTCATTCAACAACAATTCACGATACTCATTAAAATCCTTTGAATCTATATTCTTCAAAATTTTCGAATCCTCCAAAAAGTCTTGAAACATTGAATTTGATGATTGAAACCAACGCCAATTTGATGAAGTTGTTATTGATGATCTTATATTTTGTGTATGAGTTTTAAAATCACAAGACTTTTTGGGCCAAACATCTAAAATGGTTTGTCCCATTTTCCAATTAAACTTTGATTGGTATAGACAACATGGAATGTGTTGCGGAGTAGATGCATGTTTACTTTCACAACTATTACTTCTTTTAGAGGATGAGTTAGGTTGAATTGTTTTCAATCTAAAGACTTCATCATCTTTATTTTTGTATTTATGTTCTAGTTCATCTTGATGCACGGGATGACTATTTCGCCTTCTAATAACCCTTGATGATAATGGATGCACTTGGGATTTTAATCCATGATCCTTCATACAACATGCTTTGGATTTAGTTTTGATATTAATCCAACTTAAAAATGACCAACATGAATGGGTTGGATTTTTATTTTCTTCATGTGGATGATGAAAAGAACGAAATAAGCAATTCCATGGCTTTTCTTCTTGTGGTGGCAACAACGACCTATTTTCTGATCTTGGTTTTTTAAATTGTAGCAATATACCCAATCTTTCCACAGCCATTACTTTCTATAATCAATTTTATTGATCTTTTGTAGTAGTTTTGAAATATAAAATATGATGAATAAAAATCATCAAATATCTCTTTCTATTTATGTATATATATACATAGATTTGAATTAGTTGGTTGTTTTCCAATAAGATAAATTCGTTGAAAAATGTTCCATAATTTACTCTGGAGACCCATGATTCTTCTGTATGTATTCAATTCTTTGGCAGAGTATGTCATATATTGCATTGTTTTGATTTCTTAATTGTTTCAATTTTTTTTTTTTTTTTTTTTTTTTTTTTTTTTAACTATTTGTATACATGAAAAGATTTAGACTTACTGTTGCAGTTTGAGATGAATTTTTACATGCTCCATGAGCTTTAGTAAGTAGAGTGGCACATATGTATTTGCTCACTTGTTTTGCTTTTAAAAATACATTTCAAATAATCTTTTATGCTAAGGCCCTATATTTGAATTGTCATTTTTAAATTGAATATTAAGCTGAAGTGAATTTAAAGTAATTATTAAATAGTAAATACCATTTTAACGTGAACATTATTCAATTTGATGAAATTTTAATATTTAATAAGTGATAAACTAAGATATTTATACAGTGATTGAATGTAACACTCAAGTCTTTATCTTTAATTTTAATTCTTTCAAATACATATTTTTTTATATTTTTACCATATGAAAACAAATGCATATGGAAAGAACAAATGAAAAGTCAAGTTAGCTTTTGGCAAGTTGGTTATTCATGTTATCCTTTATTCTTTTCACTGATTTGAATCTTTTGAAGGATGATCTTGGGATTTATAAAAATAATTTAAGAATTGTGATAGAACATTCAATCAAAAAGAAATGCTAAAACATCCTCATGCAAATTATTAATTTTCTCCAAACTTTATTTACTTTCACCACTAATTTTGCACCTTCCAATCTTTACTTTGTAGTCATTTTTTTTTTTTTAAAAAAAAAAACCATTTTTTTAAAGTAACTTTTCTTTTTATTAAATTTCTGATAGTTTGATTTAGTAAATAAATAAGTAAATTAAATCTTACTAAAATTTTAATTGTTGAAAATAATTACATGTGATGAAAAACTACAATTATTACATTTATGAGACCTTGATGAAGCAAAGGTTTCTTCAAATCAAAAAAATACTTTCATTTTCCAAAAAAAAATAGTAATTACTTGAAAAAAAAACAAAAACAAAAACAAAACCAAAACCAAGTAATTATTTTGCCAAGAATACTTCTTAGAATATTTGTGTTATTAATTTCGACTAAGGATCAATATAGGTACTTGTAGCTTAGGAAATAGTTATAAATTTTATTAGATCTAGTAAATATTGAAAAAAAAAAAAAAAAAAACAACAACAACAACAACAACAACAACAACAGAATAAGAAACAAATTTGTTAAAACTAATTTCTTTACCCCAAAAGCAGTGGATCTAACATAAAAGGTACAAGAATAAACAAATTTAATTAGCATATAGAAAAAATATTACTTCTTTGAATATTATTATATAAAGTTAGGTAGATTTAATCTAATAAATCTATATTATTTATCAATATTATAATTTAATTTAATAAACCAACATAATCTTTTGATTAATCTAATAAAATGCATTACATTTAATTTTATAAACCAATACATTTTTTCAAAATTGTCTTGTTGAGTAGAATCTTAACAAGGACTTCTATCATAGAATCAACAAGTTATTCATTTTAATAACCCTATTTCTCAAGTATATATAATAAATAGATGTAATATATGGATATATATATATATATATATATATAATCCTGGAGATTAGAAAATTTTTTAAAATAAATAAATAATATCATACAAATTCATTGATAAAGAAACAATTACATCAATATTATAGTAATTTTTTTAAAACAATAGAGATCTATATTAGTCAAAATTACTAAGAATAGTTGGACTTTGAACATCATAAATATCTTACTAAAATCCTTAAATTTGTGATTGAATTCTCTTAAAATTGTTAATAGAATACAATTATTCAACAATGTTTTTAATTTCTTAAAAGTCCTAAATAAGAAATTATTCCAAGAGTGTGCAATGCTGTGCAGCGTGGATGTTTTACAATGATCGAGAATTTGGAACAGTCATGCATTTCTGTGATCGCAACGTTGTATTTGTCCACTTTCTGAAAACATGCATTGTTGGGATGGAAGGTGTGGGTAGACCAGGCAAATTATTATTTAAAAGCTTTGACAATCTCTTTTAGAAAAAATATCATAAATACCTCTGCAATTTGCTAAGATATCATGAATATTGATGATAGCAAATCTATCCCTCGTTTTTGTGATAATTACAAATATAACCTTGAACATGACAAGCTATAAACATAATCCTTTTTTAAATTGAAACTAGGCCCAAACCGCACGCTGTGCACATTTTGGCGCAACACTTCTCATATTTTGGGCCCACTCAAAATAGACGTCGCCGCTGCCATCGCCAGTGTGGGTGCACGCTCGACTCCGACCTCCAACCTCACATCATAACTGTGAGTCTCAATTTATGAACAGATTCACCTTCTTGATGCGTTTTTCAAATCCCACAGATGCTTGTGAATAAAGATATTTTTTATCTCAAAACGTCCTTATGATTCATATATTTTCTACATCCTTCAACTCTTCATCATTGTGCCATGATATTATTCTCTGCTGCTTATTAACTTAACATCTAAGAACTAAATTCTCTATCCTTTGCATGATCCAGTGTAGTTTCCAGGTTCAAACAAGAGGTTGTGTTTGGCGTCGCTCCTAAATGGTCTAATGCAATTTTCAGGTTGTATATAGTATTGTGATTGGGGCAACGCTTGGGGTTCCGCCGTTGTTCAGCGATGGCCCAATGAATTTTTCGACGGTTGGTTTTTCTTTGAAATGTTGTATGCTTGATGCTTCAATGGTGATGGTTTGCCGCCAATGCGTGGAGTTTGCGGTTGCTAACATATAAATCTGGAAGTCACCGATAAGTAGGACCTACGTGAAGTTTTTGATTAGTGGGGTTTGCAATGGAGTTGTGAATGCGTAGTTCTCTAGCGAAGGATATGATGCTTGTGTTTTCCCACTCATGGTTGCTGGTGAGATCCATAGTGTGTGGGGCTTGCGGTGTGGGTTTAGCAGTCGCTAGTGAGATCTAAATCGACTGGAGTTGGTAGTTGCTAGTGAGCTGTGAATTTGGTGAACCGCTCGCTGGGTTCAATGGTGGACTATTCAAGGGAATGAATAAGAACGACGTCGATAAGTATGATGTGGGTTGTAAATTATAGCGTGAGCAGAGACGAGATTTTTGTGGATATTTGGATCGCATCAAGCACAAGCGTCTCACCAAAAGATCACGTACACCACGCACACATATCCTAAACCTCGAGCTAGATTCTCTCCCTCTGCCCCCTCCCCCCTCATGGGCGTTCCTGAGACATTCAGTGCGCTCATGCTCAATGCGTTCAGCGATGCGAGGAAGAGAATGTTGTCGTCCTTCCCAAAAGCCGCATATTTCTGCCCACACCTTCCATCCCAACAATGCACGTTTTCAGAAAGTGGACAAATACAACGTTGCGATCACAGAAATGCATGACTGTTCCAAATTCTCAATCATTGTAAAACGTCCACGCTGCACAGCATTGCACACTCTTGGAAAGAACGTTTGGAAGTGGATTGAGGTTTTCAGCCTTGAAATGTCTCAATTACCAAAGCAACTTGTTCATGTGATGCAATTGAAACGTCGTCAAAATAAGCCTTGACACAGCACAACAGAGGATATTCAACTACCGACGCTCGAAACATGACGCGCAGTCTCTAGCTGTGGCACAATTTGGACCGTAGCCGATCATACATTGTCCCGCACATCGCAACAGCACAAATTCAAACAAAATCCAACCTAGTTTGTTTGATAGCTTAGGTGGTTATGGACAAGCTACTACTATCTAGTATTTCGTGCGGGAGAAGTGTCGTGTTGAAATGTGTGCGGCAATCGGTTTGAAGGGTATATTTGTAATTATCATAAAAGTGAGGGGTAGATTTGCTATTATCAAGATATATAGATATTCTTGATATTTCAGCAAATTGCTGGGATATTTATGATATTCAATGGACTTTTTTACAAATCTTCTATTCACAATTTTTCATGATTTTTTTTTTTTTTTAATGATAGATTTTCTAATTAAAATAGTATGTTTTTTACTTTGTATAAAAACTAATACAAGTAAAAAAATAGATAAGTTTTTTTTATTAATATTTATCAATAATATAGATGTTTAAGTAAAATTATATTTGATTAGAGATTTTAGTTTATTTTTAAGGTTTTAGAAGATACTCTTGAACATATTATGGATAAATATCAAATCAATTTTAGTTTTTTATCTTCAAAAGTGATGAATAAATATAACATGTAAATCCAATATTAGAAGAATATCTATGATGTACTATCAACTATTACCAAGACAAATAAAAAAAACTTTTTGCCATTAGAATAATTTTTATGTAATAATTATGGTTATCATCTATGATTTAATACTTTTGACTTTTTAAAAGTTAAAAATCAAGCAACAAAAAATTTGGCACTAAATATGGCTAAGCTTAATACAAAAATGATGATACAACTAAAGAAAACTCAAGAATGGCAAAAAACTAATACATATATTTTTAGAAAAAAATAACATCTATTCAAAGTGATGAGGTATAGTTATTCTATCATAATATTAAGAACAATTGATTTTTTAAAAAGTTAGATTATTAAAGACCTAGCTTGTTTATTATCCAAAAATAAATCAATGTAGTTTCATACCAAATAATATTACAATATTCAATGAAAGTTCATCTTATATTTCATGTATTTTTTTATTGAAACTTTGATAAAAATTAACATATTAAAAAATAAAAATAAAATAAAATAAATACTACCTCCTTGTGTTGAAATAGATAACAATTAAGAATTTGAAGTAAAAGAAGTTTTAGATTCAAGGCAACTTCAAAATAAATTAGAATATCTTATATATTAGCATAGATATTATGTTACTAAATGCATATAGAACTTATTTGAGAATCTTACAAAAGTATTATAACTTGTTGTTTTTTTGTCAACAACATTTAATGAAATCAAGGGCCAACCATTAAAAAAAAGGTGATATAAATCAAACAGAAATAATTTTTAGGAATTAACTTATAGAATTTATTTGCAACATAGAGAACCAACAATTGACAATTTTATTATAAGTATTTTTAATTACAAAATTTTTTAGATAAGTATTTAACATATACAAAATCAAAATCTTAATCAAGATTCTCAAGAAAGACATGCCTTTTTTCAAATAAATAACAAGATACAACATGTTTGATATTATGATCTTATAGGAGACCCCTTGATTTTTAATAATGCTACCAACTATAAATATTACATTTGATGACATGCAAAATGTATTGTTCAAAAGTTATGAAAGCCACAATAATAATCAAATAGCAAGATATTCTTCTTATCTTAGTAGGGAGCAAATATTAATAGTTAGAGGCCTATCAACTATCTTAATGAATGACATATATAGAAAGAAATTGTTATCACTATTAAATAAATCTTTGATTTTATTAACTTTTAAAGAACTTGATCACTTCTTGTGGAATTCATTCTTTAGAAGAGAAAATAATGTGATAGATCTATATATAATTAAAGTAAACAAAAGTGAGGAGAAATAGGTATAAACATGTTGGAAAAATAATGTATTCCTTAAGAAGCTTAAAAGAAGTTTTTTAGATACATAATAGATATTTAGACTCATATATATATGCCACATGGCTATTTAAAAAATAATTTATAAATTATTTATTTTTAGAAATTAGTGTTAGAAGCAATCTATAACTTGATGCTTGGACTACAAGCCTTACAATTTATAAGAAGCTTCTATAAGGTGTTTTTTACAACTAGTATATGTACAAGGAAAACTAAGGCCACCTTTGATCTTGTCAACACTTTTCTCATCCTCAAGTCTTAGTTTTAGACTCTATAGGTCCTTTGTAATTAGAAATAATCATTTTATATTTTTTTTAACATATATATTTCTTATTTGTGTATTTTTTTTCTTTTAGTAATACAGGAATATAGTCTCATTAAGTAGTTTTGTAATTTATATCTTTGATACCTATTGGCATGCAAAATATATTATATAAAAATAGTTGTAAAGGTCTTAAGATTGATCAAACAACTAAGTGGTCTACTTATTTGAATAAGAGATATTATAGATGATTAAAGGGATCTATTAGCTATTCTTGTATAGAATATAAATTTGAGTTTGTTGCTAATATCATTTAACTAATATTCAACTTCATCAACTAATGAAGCAACTTATTTTTTTAAAATAGTGGATAATATAATGGATGCCAATTTTACACAAGTAAACAAAAATTAATAAAAATAGATCTAAATACATAAGATAAATCTCAAAAAAAAAAAAAAAAAAAAAAAATTGAAGAAGTTTAATAGATGCATATTCTTATATTCTTAAAAGGATTGAGATCATTACAATAATTCTTCAAAAAAAGCATGTCACAAACAAAACATAACAAAAAAAAAATGAAAATGTGAGTATATGTATGTGTGAACATACATATGTGTATATATGTAGAGATAAAGAATAAAATAATGAAGTATGACAAAATTGCTACCAAACTAATCCACTGAAATGAAATGTAAGAAAATGTAAGAAATGCACCAAAGCTGTACTTGAGCTTCAACCATGCAACAACAGTAAGTTGCCTCAATCAATGTTTTTGCCATCATCATTATCGTCCCAGAAGTGGGACTGAAATCAAACCTATCTACTACTATCAGAGGCTACAATCTCAGCAATGTGGGGAAATGACATACAACAGTCGTTGTAGGAATATTATGAAGGTCATATAATGTTGTCGATTACATTTCCCCACAACTATGAATAGTTACTTTGCTTTTGGTGCTTCCGTCTGTACTGCCCAAGTCGTTTAAAGCATCTAAAACTTCGTTTCCTGAGCATGACAAGACTTGATTAGAGATATTCAAAATCCGAACTACAGAGCATTACGTTTTACACAACCAAGGATCGATGACAGTCAGTAAGGATCGCAAAAGAATACAAATACCTTCAACAACTCTTCCAAATACAACATTTTTTCCGTCTAACTCGGAGCAGTCACCCAACGTGATGAAGAATTGAGTGCCTGACGAAAAAAGCAGCGGATTAGGCAGCATTAGCGTTGGGATAGACAATTGAACTGAAAGAAGCACCTTCTAATGTATACGAGAATGGTCACTGATGTTTAAAAAAGGAATGTACAACATGACTCGTTTCAGGCAGTGGTGGCCACGCTATTCATGCGTAAATCTCCCCCTCAAGACAAATAATTACTAGAAGGAATCGTGATTAGAAATTAAAGCTAATTGAAGTAGAGATGTTTAACAGAATTATAAGAAAGGATGTGCACATTCACTACATTGATTGAGAGGACTAAACTGCCACAGTTTCACGTACTATGGAATGTAAATTTCCTTCATTAACACGACGAATTGACAGGGACTACACGTCCTTCCAAAGCATGAGAATTACAAGCTCGTCACACTTATTCGTTATTTTGAGTAAAATATGAACATTGCATTTCGATGGAGCTGGTCTTCCCCGTTAGCAAACTAAAACACCTTACTAGTGTAAATAACTCCAATAAAGAGTAAAATAATACTAACGCTTATCTGCCTATCAAAGTTCTTACCATTAGTGTGAGGTCCAGTGTTGGCCATGGAGAGCACACCCTTGCTTTTGTGTAAAAGCTTGAAATTCTCATCATCAAACTTCTTCCCATATATTGATTTTCCACAATCGCCTCCCTGAGAATACAATAAAAGAATTAACAAATGAAAATTAAAAATAAAAACACACACGGCAGATCAATAGTTCCTGGTTCAATGTTCGAGAGCTGGTGCACAATGCACGATGTGTTAATACAGCACTCGTGTACCACAAGGACTTACAAATTCGAATAGATCAGACAATTGATTCTACGATACATAACACTTAGCGGCAAGGGGTTCTACTTCAAAATTATGGCATTACGCTGGGGTGCCTACCAGAACGCCTAGACTCTTCAAAAAACTGATGTCTCAAATGTATGCACACTCTACAATCACAGAAAAATTGCGTCGTAACCTCACCTGGGCCATGAAACCTGGCACGATCCGGTGTATGGTGGTTCCAGCATATGAGTTTCCACTTTCACCAGTACACAGCTGCCGGAAGTTTTCCGCAGTCTTGGGAACCTTATCATTGCGCAACTCGACCACAAGACGCCCTATGACATTGCCATTGACTGCTAACTCAAGGTAACATTTAATACCTTTGCTGCCCCCACATCCCATATCTTGCTTCTAAACTGACGTCGAAAGGTCGTGGTACAATCTGCGCAGGAGGACAATTATAAAATCAAACCGACTAGCACAGCGGTGTTCTCCACTTCTGTTCCGTGATCCTTGAAGTATCCAACATTCGATTCAAGCATTATGGAGGTCTTACAAATAATACTAGATGATGCACCATCGAAAGCGAACATCGACTAAATTCTTCCTTATAAGCAGTTCGAGCATCACAACATTTTTTTTCTAGCATCACAACTTCTGTAAACGTGTGCACAGCAGCTTCTGAAGAGGAAAATAAAGTTGCACTCGGAGGACAGAGAATTGACTTCAGACGTAATAGACTACAAGAATATGGATCGGTTCAATCTGAGAGCATGAAAAGTTCAGGTTGACTTCTGTTTGATTTGTCTGTAATTCAAGGCATATTCCTCACTCAGTATTAACAACTGACGACCTCAGCAAATCTCGAAGACGCAAACAACGGAAAAATATCATCTCTTCACCGTTCCTCGCGGCTGGTTCTAAGCTGACAATAAGTTGCTAATACATACTATTTTGATGAACAAGCTTGGCACACTAGATGTTATGTTTACGTGCGGCTAACATGGCTACAGCAGCAGCAGCCGAGAAACTGTAGGCTATGACATTAATTTCATTGAACTGCGAGGGTCATAATAAACTCAATGAATCGGATTAAGTTCTGCAAAACAGTCAAAAATTCGATAATCTTCTAAAAGAGATGTGTCGTCATCTCTTCCTGAGGTTGAGGCCTGCTCTCAACTTGACCGCTCACAACTTATTAACGCACATCTAAATGAGCTCCATAATATTCTAAGCAGTTGGCTATCATTCAACCTAGTACCAATGCACGCTGCTTGAGATTTGAGCAGATTACTGACAGATACTCACCTAGGTGCAACGCAGTTGAGTCTTCATCAGCATTACAAAAGCCTCCCGACGCTGAAAATGCAGAAACCGCCACAGCCGTCTGTCAGAACCATTCAGTGCAATGCAGAAACTAGCCCTGACAGCTTGAATACCAGCGTCGAACTATCGAGGTTGTTGCAACATCGCACAAATTCCTCGGGTGCGCGTCAAAGAGAGGCCCTGAATTCCCTGTAATTATGATGCATACCCTCAAATGATGACTCACATTGGAAACAAAACTACGTACAAACACCTGTTCTCTATCTCACATTCTCCGTATGACACTGAGTTCCGGCAACCGACAGAATCAGCAAAAGCATCAAGTCTAAACGCACCTTGAGATTAGCCACCGTCCGAATTAACGCTCAAAGTGGACGAAGAGCATTGCAGCCTCACACCAAACCGGATCCATGCGCCATGGCCTAGCCACACCAAATCACACACCCCGCCAATCCATGCATAAGCGGCTCCCAAAACTGAGCACACCCTGACGATGCGAAACGCAGGAGGCAGGGGGTGATCACGGGACGCACCCGCGGCGTCGGAGAGCGTAATGACCCCGTGAACTATTGTTGTCTGTAGCAGGAGAGGGAGAATTGATCTCCACCACAATGAGGCAACCCGAAAGAGATCATAACAATGCTATCACTGAGATCACGCGACACCACAAAGAGGAGGCTCCGAAGCGGGGACAGGCAGGCAGGCTGCGAGACGCGGCTCCCCCGAGATCCAGCAGGGGGATGCGGTCTTAAAAAGGCAGGTAAGCCGCGGCCAGGGCACGGAGCGAAGCCTTGCCGGAGGGAACATCGCATGCATTAGGCTGTCACGCCCCGCCTTCCCCCGCCTTCCCTCCGCCTCCACAGGCGCGGTATTGCTGATGCGGTGCAGCCCTCCTCACCTCGCTCTCGGTCGGACCAACGGACGGACCAAGGAACGAACGAACAACCAGGGGACGCGATAAAATGGACGAAAACACAGACGGGCGGACAGACAGGGACGAACGAAGTGATGGACAAAAAAATGGATGTAAATCCCAATCTGTGCATTGATGAATGAACAAGCGCGATGGATGGATAGATGGATATGTGGGTGTGGATGTGTTCGTGTGGATGAATGCATTCTACCGCGTTTCACATTCAGATGTATTCTGTTCCGTTTGATATCTGTTGTTGCAATCGTTGCTAAAACCTAAAGTTGCGGTGTTTTATGTTTTTTGTTTCTACTTTTGTACGTAGAAGACATTGATGCAAAACATCAATTCAATTGTGCTGCGATTTTGTTGGTTGCAACTTAAATGCACCACAAATGCAAATATGTTGTTATATTTGTTTGCTGTTTTTTTTGTTTTGTTGTGTAAAATACAGATTGATACAAAAGTTAATAATTGACCATTAGTATAAAAATTTAATATGAAGAATAATATCTTGCAAGATCATGAGAATTTGTAAAAACGCATAAAAATTTGGATTTGCCTAAAATTGAGAAGCTAAAGTTTTTCATCATAGGATCTTGAATAAAATTATTATATGACGTAATTATAATAATTAAAAATAAAATAGGACTACTTATTTGTATCTCTATATATATATATATATATGTATATTACTATATTTTATATAGTACTATACTATTTTATATAGTATTTTTACTATATATTATTATATTTTTATCTAACAATTTTAATATCTATCATTTTGTGACTTTAGTTTTTTAAAGCCAATATTATAAATTTTACTAATACTGGCTCAAAAGTTTAATAAATTTATAATACTTTTCAGAAGTATCAGCTTTAAAAGTTTAGCAAGTATTTATACTTTTTGTTTGAATCTAGTATTAAAAATATATATTGGATTTATACATTAAATGTTTTTTTAATAGACCGATTTTTTTTATTATTTAAGGATATGTGCAAACAAGCAGTTTGAACAAGCCAATAAGTTATATTTTTTTAAGTAGATAAGATAAAATCGAAAATAAAATTGTGTTCTTTTTTCTTCTAGTATAATTATTGAATAGAAATCCAGAATTTGGTTTGGTTATGATTCTAGATAGAAATAATGATATTATATTGAGATATAATCTGTAGTTAAACTCTTCAAAAATATTTAATTCAACTTATAATAATGTTTTTATAGCTTTTACCATGTAATTGTTAATTCAGGTCAGAAGAAAACACATTTTTACTTGTTTAAATAATAAAGTGACTTTTGGTGATTATTTTATATTTTTGGTATAAATAATATATCAAAAAATAATTTTATACATCTTCCTAAAAATATGATCATTGTTATGATGATTGTTATTATTGTCTTTAAGTTGTATGCTTTAGTTTAAGTTACTTATATTGAAACATTTGCATATTTGAGAAAAAGTTTACACATTATTTTAGATAAATTATGTAGTTTAATTAAGAGCTGTAAAACTAATGTTTTAATTTTTGAAGTCATGAGCTAACAGTAAAATAAGAGGTCAGCTTTTGGTATGTAATAACAAATAGTACAAAATTAAAAATTATAGTTAAAAAACTCCCAACAACACAGATATTCTTCTAATCTAACTTGATCTTATATAATTTGGTCTGGTTAAATGTGCTAGAAACAATGGATATATTTGTACTGGCATAGAAAAACAATATTAGACAAATATACGAAAACCATATGTATAGCACACATTCATCTTATGCATTTATTACACAGCAAGCCTCAGATTAGGTAGTAAAAAATTAATTATTCTTAAAGAAAATTAAACACAATAACAACATGATTTGATATAATTTGTAGACACATGTTACAAAATTGAAACCAAAGTGAAATTTACATATGAATGCAATAAATGCTTGACAGATGTCTGGAAAGGATAATCTCATCCAACACTTGAAATTTAAACTTATAACATATAATAAATTTTTTTAAAAAATAATTCACATATTGGATGGATGGTTTACATAACAGTGGATGAAACCGATGAATGTATTTCATCCGACTGGCCAATGTTAATGGAGGGGAATAATAAAAAGCACTAACGTGAACCCAAGAGTGGAACGACTGGTCCACAGTGCAGGAGACGACGCCGGGCCGGGCCGGGTGGGGCCAACCCCCTGGTGCGTTGCGAACCACGGGCCTCTTTCCGTGTAAGTTAGGTTTAGGGTTTGAAGGACAAGTTGATCCGGGTCCTCTTGTTCGGTGCCCGTGGTGCTCAACATTTTCTGTGTTCTGGCTCGCTCGCCTCGGAGCTTTGCCGTCCACCATCACATCCTCACGCGCCGTCTCTTCCTTCCTTCCCTCCTACTTCCCCTGCCCCAGGTAAGCATCCTTTGTATTCTCAGGCTGCTTCCGCCAGTCAAAGTTGGATGGTGTTGAGTTTTTGGTCGAGAGACACACGGTGGATTACCTTTCTTGTGAGTTGTCGAGGGTTCGCGTCTGGTTCGTCCTGGTAGGATTCTACTGTGAGGGGGAGGACGTTTGAGGAGTAGTTTAAAGGTTGTGAGAAGACAACAGTCGTTTAGGCGGAGGGATGTGAACCGGTGCTGTGTGGCCGACGTTCCACGTCCGTCTCTGGAGGGTTTGTGCATATTTGAGTGTTTGGTCAATTTATGTCAGGATTTTTGTTGTTGCTTTCTCTAATTGTGATATCGATTATCTCTTCAGGGTCTTGAGGAAGAGGATAGCGTTCACTGAGGACGTGGTGGGGCTCACCTTGGTTTCAGTTTGACTGGAGTTGGAGAGTAGCCTTGAAACTTTTGCTAATTGTTTCAGTGCTCTACGACAATGGTTGGCGCTGCTGTTGCGGCGGCTCCTCGATTCGCTCCTGAAGATCCAACACTGCCTGCCCCATGGAGAGCTTTGGTAGATGGAAACACGGGGTACATCTATTACTGGAACCCGGAGACGAATATCACGCAGTACGACAAGCCGTTGCCCCTAGCTGCATCTGGGCCTCCTCTTCCGTCTGGACCTCCCCCTTCATCGGTAATATCTGGACCGAAGTTGGCCGCAATTCCCAACGGGTCTGAGCAACTCAATGGTGGTTCAGGGAATGGTCAAATGGCCGGCTTGAACGGCTACCATTCCTCTTCAGTCGGTGCCATGCCAAATCAGCCTAAACTTGCCGCTATTCCTATTCCGCGGGGTTCTCAGGTCTGAAGATTTTTCTGGATTTCTCTACTGCTGCTTGCATTTCATATTTAACACTAATCTAGTCCAATTGGTAGAGCGACTTCAATTGAAGTTCACTTTGCGTGGCCCTTCTACGGTAGCAGTAACACCCTTTGTTGTTTCCCGCGAAGAATCTCTGAGTCGAACGGTTCTGGTTGAGATACCAACAGGGATATCGGTTATTTTTCTCCTGGAGTTCTGTATAGTAGTTCCAAATTTTGCAGGAAAATATTGAGTGTAGCATATTCTCATATCTAATGAAAGAGGTAATTCGTGCAGGCCTCGATTAATTCAAATTTATCTCTTCCAGCCGGTGGCACTGTGACTGGATCTGCTGGTCCTGTAGGTATGGGTTTGTCTGGAGGGCAAAAACATGGTGCAGGTGTTTATGACAATACTGATCGTGATGGTTACTACAAGCGCCCAAGAGTGGAAGCTTACACAAATGCTTTGACTTCTGATATTGACTCCTACAGGAAACTACACGAAGTGACCGCACTGGTAAGTCTATACTTACAGTCCATTCCCACCTCTTCCTTCGGGTGACTTTCCTATACACGTGACGTGTCAAGACATGATGATCTATATATTACACTAGTTTGTGGAAGATATTTCTGAAGCAACTGCTTTTTACCGTTGCAGGGAGACAATGTCCCTGCACCTTTTATGTCATTTGAAGCTGTCGGATTTCCACCAGATATGCTCAGAGAGGTATTAACATTATTCTTGATAACCCTGAATTTTGTGTCATCACCTTAGACTTCGAAAACCGCTCCAATGAGTTGGATTCTGTCTTTCTCATGAAATCCGTGTGGTTTGGTCTATCCGTAGTACTTCCTCCTCATTCATTCGAATAGCTTTGGTGATCCTAAACAGCCACTTTGTGTCGCTTTGAAGGAGCGTTTATAATTTAGACGGTTATATTTTCTGTGTTTACTGTGGTGGGTCAAACTTACGGTGGCAATTATACTGGGGGCTGCTGCAGGTGCGATATTCGCTCTGCCTGGAGCTTATGTCGTACACTGCCCGCGAACAGCAGACTGTAGCACACATCCTCATGTTGAGGCCTGCGTGCATCTGAACTGAACTGCACTGAAGCCACCGTCTCGGATGGCTGTTGTCAGCTGTTGTTTCATCGCAGCCTGCCTGGTGTCCTTGCCACTCGACCTAAGATGATCGAGGGGTCCCCTGCAGTTGGCCTGGTGTTAATACTAGCAGGCAAACATGCAGCTTCCTCCACTTCATGGGATAGAGAGCTATCTGCATGTTGATTTTTTCTGCTACTGTGGGATTGTTTGGGAGTGTGTGAGGATACGCTGTTGGGTGGTCCCGAGGTTTAACTTGTCTTTCTGTTCGTAGTGTCTGTAATGGTTCGATCATTTCTAGTATTTTGCTGATGACTATGATGGTTTTCTTCTGTCCCTTCTGTCCTTATGATTTCTCTTGTGTACAGCTTCAAATTGCTGGATTCAAATCTCCCACCCCAATTCAAGCTCAATCTTGGCCCATAGCAATGCAAAATCGGGATATAGTGGCGATTGCGAAGACGGGTTCCGGGAAGACTTTGGGTTATTTGATTCCTGCTTTTCTTCATCTTGAACGTCATCGCAACAATTCAAGACTAGGACCTACTGTGCTCGTGCTAGCTCCTACTCGTGAATTAGCTACTCAGATACAGGATGAATGCGTTAAGTTCGGAAGGTCCTCAAGGATCACAAGCACGGTATGTATCGGGTCGTGATTGTCATGCTGTGATGTTAAGTTACTGCCGATTCTAGGAGCGCACGTACTCTGTATATACTATTAACTCGGGCTCATGTATTGTGTGTTTCCAGATTGCAGAATTTTGAATTTTTCTACATCATAGCTACTTCAGTCTTTCACCACGAAGCTTAAGTGTTGCCGTGTTGATTTTTTTCTGATGCGTGCAGTGTGTTTATGGAGGTGCCCCCAAGGTTCCTCAGTTGCGAGACATTGAGCGAGGAGCCGACATAGTCATAGCAACTCCTGGGCGGTTAAACGACTTTTTGGAAGTAAAAAGAGTTAGTCTCAGACAGGTGTCATATCTGGTACTTGACGAAGCAGATCGTATGCTTGATATGGGGTTTGAGCCTCAAATACGCAAAATTGTGAATGAGATACCGTCACGAAGGCAGACTCTCATGTACACTGCGACTTGGCCCAAAGAAGTCAGAAAGATAGCTGGAGACCTTCTCATCAATCCTGTTCAGGTTAATATTGGTAACACCGATGAGCTTGCTGCCAACAAATCCATCACTCAGGTTCGAATTTGAGTTTCTGCACTCAGACTCTTTGTTGTGTTCGGTGTGAGATATATCGATTCAGTTTCAAACTTACTTTCTGGTCCACCTCTGTCTATTCTTTTCCTTGACTAAAGCTCTTTGTCTGATTTTTTGTTTGCAGAATGTGGAGGTAGTTGTGCCCTACGAGAAACAGAGGCGACTAGAGCAGATTCTACGATCACAAGAGCCTGGTTCCAAGATTATCATATTTTGTTCCACCAAGCGCATGTGTGATACGCTCTCTCGAAACTTGGGTCGTGACTTCGGCGCAGCGGCTATTCACGGGGATAAGTCTCAGAGTGAAAGAGACTTCGTCCTGTCTCAATTTAGAACCGGAAGAACACCCATCCTTGTTGCAACTGACGTCGCTGCCAGAGGTCTTGACATCAAAGATATCAGGTATTATTTTCGCTTATCATTTTAAACAGTTACTTGTTCTGTCTCTGCCGTTGGTCCTTATTCTTTCGTGACATCTGATTTCTGTGTGTCAATACTACCAGAGTTGTCGTAAATTATGATTTTCCAACGGGAGTCGAAGACTATGTTCATCGAATTGGGCGTACAGGCCGAGCTGGTGCCACTGGTCTTGCATACACGTTCTTCTCTGAACAGGATGGGAAATACGCCAAGGAGCTCATCAAAGTTCTTGAAGGAGCTAACCAGAAAGTGCCTCCAGAGTTGAAGGACATCGCCAGTAGAGGTGGAGGGATGTTCAAAGGTCGAATGGGGAATCGTTGGGGTGGTGATTCCGGTGGCAGAGGCGGAAGAGATGGTGGACGAAGCAGCTATAGAGGAGGCCGTGGGGATTTTGGTGGGAGAGGCAGTTCTTATGGAGGTGGGCGTGACGGTGGTGGCCGGGATGGGGGTCGCTTTGACAGTCGGGATCGTTATGGTGATCGGCTGGGAGATCGCAGTCATGACCGGTACGGGCCACCCGATGGGGGTAGGTATGGAGACAAGGACAGAAGCAGAAACCGAAGCCGCAGTTATAGCAGGAGTCCCAGCCGGTCGAGGGCATACAGTCGCAGCAGGAGCCGCAGCTACGACCGGTACAGTGATGACAGGGGTAGAGAGCGTAGTAGATCCCCACCCAGTCGGAGGTCATACTCTCCTAGCGGAGGACGGGGCGGAAGACGTTGAAAATAACTCCAATTCGTATGAATTGTCGAGATGTTGTGGAGAGAATTTCCTGAAGACTGTATTCTGAAGACTGTTCCTGTGACTTAGGGATGAAACATTTCTTATTCAAGATATTCCCTTGCCCACCTCAAATGATGAGAGAAATCTACGTAGTTTGCGTAAACCATGCTGCTCTTTTATTGCGGTCGCAGGATTCGGATTTTACAGTTAGTGATTTCTTACTTCCCCTCATTTGTTAGAAGCTACGGTTAGATCTGAGGGCTGCTTTCAACTTCCGTTTTCAAGGCTTAAAGTTCTGTTGATATGACAGCAGTCTGTCAACACCATCCCGTAGTCTACAACCTCCTGCAAGCCATTCACTTCTGGACCTCACGCCTAAATGCTAGGTATGACTCTGGAATGCTGAGATATCGCTGCTTTGCTAAGGACAAAAATATCAATCAGGTCCCTAGAGTTTCTCATCTATATCCAACTCGACAGATAAATCTGTCTTGAAAGCTGCCAGTGGAATTCATTTCTGGTCTTAGAACTCAGACGCCTGGAGGACGAAGTTTACGTCTAGCTGGGTGTATCAATTTTGGACTGCATGAAAGCTTGCAGAGATGTATTTCTGACATTCATATAGATTTGAAATGCAGTAGCTCTTATTCACTGCCTCAATCTAGATTTCTACCTCTTTCTGACTAGTTCGTGGATATATGATTCTAATGTCACATGCTTCATCGTAACCACTGACTATTGAATTTCAACATAGTCGAACTGATGCACTGTCATTAAATTTTCTGATTTTCATTAAGACACGTAAAAAATTGTAAGGCAAAAAGTAATGCAAGGTAAATTGTTAACCATGAACCTAAGGGTCCTCCTCGGGTGACATATTTGTAAGAAACATTATGCGAAATACTTTGTCAATCTTCGAACACCACTTGCTCATGTTGTGGTACATCTTGAATCCGACAAGTATCCTTGCTTCGACCGCAATAATTTCAAGTATCAGTGTGTGATCAGCATAGTTCCTTTCAACCCTCTACTTGCCAACTACATGACAAGTAACTACACAAATTTCCCATGGCATTTAGGCGAGGGGGGTGCATCTGAATCCTTGGCTTCATGATCCCATTTGCGACAGCTGCAACCCGCGCCGATGTAGGGCTTAGAGTATAAGTTCCTAGAGTGTGAGTTGTAGACATAATTTTTCTGGGTAGTGTACATTTTTGATATTTTTTTTGGGGGGGGGGGGGGGGGGCAGGGTTGCTGTTGATTGCGAGTGAGATGTAAGATCAGAGTAACACAGTCCAACAACTGCATCTCTTTTGCACCAAGAGTTTTTAGTTGACGATATTCTAGCTTGTAAATCACAGCATGTAGTATGAGTTGCAAATTGTTTGCGAGCCTTTAGCGTAGAGGAAAACGGTGATTAAGTTGTAGTTGGTACATTCACCAAACATGTGGGATGAAAATCTACATTGTACCTTGTATATTACACGTTGAGCACTATTGAAGATCCCCCGGGACCCAAGAATTTCTTACATCTTGATTGCTCTCCGCTTCATGTGCATTGGTGTAAAACAAAAACAGATTTCTGCATGTTCGTTTGTGAAATCTGGTTTTGCATCATACTGATAGAGATATGCGTCAAAATCCAGTTTTTTTCACAACCCATTACAAGCCGATCAACACGTTTCGGTGAAAGCCTTTGACAAAGATATTGTGCACAAGTGGGACCCCAGCAACAATGTTGCGGGGATGTCCGTCTAAAAAACTCCAAATTATATCAGGTGAGTGTTTGTATCCTTTAATCAAGTGACCGCCACAAGCAAAAAGAAAAAGAAAAACGAGGGGGCTCAGGAGAAACTTCAATTGTGCAGTCAAGCAGCATTCGCCTTCTCACATGCAGATTCTGGATCAACCAAGTTGCTGGGCCTTTCAAGAGGGCCTGCTGATTTCTCTACAACACGCAAGTTGGACTCCAGTTGCACTTAAAAAAGAAAAGTTGTGATATCTCATTAGGTTGAAGGGTAGATTTGATATTATCACAAAAGTGAGGGGTAGATTTTCTACTACAAAGTATACATGGATATTCTTGATATTTCAACATATTTTAGGGACATATATGGTATTTTTCCAACAAATAACTAAGATTGCTTTGAAATAAGTAGATGATAAAGAAGTTTATAAAATTGATAACATAGAGTTATTTAAAATTTTTTTTTTTGGAAAGATTAAATAATTTTTTTAACAGCTTTTTTCATTTGAGACCACCAAAATCTCTTAAAATAAGCTCCAAAGCTTTGTCATATGAAAAATGTCTTGTTATTAGAAAAAAATTGTTGTACTTATAATGCATATAATTATGCTTGACTTTTGGTATATATAAATTTCTTTTATGATAGGGATAATTATTTTTAATATGAAATTACTATAAACATCATAAAATTATTTATGGTATTAGAAATTAGAATTTCTAATAAAATACTTAAACAAATTTTATTAAAAAAATTGTGTTGATTAGAATTATTGATTTGATGGATTAAAGATGTCATTGCTTTGGATTCAAAAAGATGGTCTATTATTGATTAAATACAACATTTTCTTCTTTTGGTGCAAGATAAAAATCTCTAGACAAAGCATTTAAGTAGTCTTGTTATTTTCAAAGATATTATGTGATGTTTATAACAAATCATAATAAAGATTTGCTTCACTAGATTGATTGAAAAATTAAGATATAAGCTAATATAAAGTACTTAAAATTCTTGTGATCAAAATAAAATATGATTTGATGAAAAGTATCTTCTAAAGTACATTTTTAGAATAAGTAAATATTAAAATAAATCATTTATTTTAAATATTATTATTAATTTCAATTAACAAAAAAAATCTTTAATGAAATGAAATAAGATGAAATCTATCATCTACATCTATTTATAATAGAATTATATATTATATACCTTTGATTTTTTTATTTCCATAAAAAATAATTCCAAAAGATTTTGATAACTTAAAATAGGAGAAAAAATAATTTAAAAAAAATCTTACTATTATATTTTTATTTTATTTAATTTTTTTTCTAGAATTTAATTGAATAAGTATAAAAGTAACTTCAGATATTTTTTTATAAAATATCTAATAATAGTTTATAAATTCTAAAAAATATTATAAATTATATATTATTTTTTAATTTATTTAAATTATAATATATATATATATATATATATTAGAATCTATTTGCAAACCACCATTTGAAAGGATAGAATTCAAAAAATCTACTTGATTTATGTGAAATATCTGTTATTTTTATTTTGATATATATATATATATATATATATATATATATATATATATATATATATTATGCATCTTTAAGTTTTTATAATACAAGAATTTTTTTTTGTTCATGTCTTCTTATATTCTTAGATTATATAATTATTTCATCTAAATAATATATAAAAATATTATCTAAAAATTTACACAATATATTATTAATCAAATATTAAAAAGAAATTTAAATATTCATAAGTATAAAATACATGAAATTGTATTCAAAATAATCTTACTTAATTTAAAATATGATCTTCTATTTATTCCCTTCTTTCATACATATTAAACTATATGCTTCTTATACATCTATTAGGATAGATTTGAGCTTCACTTAATTGATTAAGTAGGCACAATATCAATGACAAAAGATAATAATTTTTTATAGCTAATTTATTGTATATATAACAAATTATACATTTTTATATGGATCTATTATTTTTCTTTACAATAAGAATTGATATATCTACAAGAAATTTTAAATATTAGATAAAGTTTTATGCAAGATTTTTATCAATATATTTCTTCAAAACATCAAGTCTATTTTGTAATAAGTTGTAAATTGGTCTAAATGGTGTTTAAGCTTCTTCTTAAAGATCAATTATACAATCATGAGATTAACATTTTGGCTATATATTAAAATTTTTTAAAGAAAAATATATCTTTATATTCTTTATATTGGTTTTGGATTTTCTTTCAACCTTTACTTAAACAAAAACTTACCATTGCATAAATGAGAAATAGATTATCTTTTTAGCAACTACCATAAATTTCTTAGCTCCAACAAAGAAATATTGAGATGATTTTCTAGCAATAAGACTAATTCTTAAAATAAAATTTTAAAATTTCTAATCAATATTAAGATTATATAATTTACATCAAAGAATATCGAGTACAATTGGATTTAAAGGATATTAATTGATATTGAATACAATTTTGAATACTTGTTCAATTAGCATTTATTTTCAAAAATTTGGTTTCAATTATAAAATCTTTAAATAAAAGTATTTGTTTATTATTAACTTCTATTAAGCATGTTGAATCTTGTCTAGAAATATCAATATTTTTTTGCATCACAAAGTCTTTACCTATAAAACATGTTGAAGTTCTAATCTTTAATTGCGCTTAAGTATAAAATTTACAATTTGAAATTTTAATAATTATATGAAGTTTAAAATAAAGTAGATGATTTGGTGGTAATATAAAATCTGTATTTGATGGTTATAATCTTAAATAATCTAATTGGAAGGTTCTTACAACAATTAGATGTTTTTATTCATTTATTTATTTATTTTGTCATTTTATATGTAAATTTGTGCTATATGTCTTAAATCCATTTTATTTGATGCAAAAATCTTATATTTTATGATTTTATGATTTTATGATTTTATTATTTTTTAATATATATATCTATCTATATATATATACATTTCTAATATTAAATGCTTGAATTAAATTGTATCAAATTATAGAAGTTTTGAACTTAATGAATAGATTTTTGAAGACCTAGAAGTTGTTGCCATTACTTCATTTATTCTTCTTCAACTAATTCTTTTTATAACACCTTTAAAAGTATTAATTATTGGATGTAATACTCAAGTGATAAATAGTTTTAATAAATATAATTTTGTTATTATTAATAATAGAAATTTGATATTAACTTTTAAACTATATCAAAATTGATCAATAAGAGTCATGATGTTTCAATATTTATTCTAATCTTTACAACATAGATAGAAACTAAATATGATTTTTATTGTAAAAATTAAAAGCTTATTTATTTATTTCTTTTTTAGTTTTTTTTATATATAGCTATTAATATTTCTAAAAATAACTCCAAATCATACTAAAGCTAAAAATATTTTTCTATCAAACATATAATTTGATTTGTTTTAAAAATCTTCAAAAATTTTATTTTTTTTAATAAAGTTTTTTGGCATATTTTTTTTGGACTCTTTTACACTTGTGGTAGCAAGATATTTAGAATTTATTTGTAAAGTTCATCTACTTTTTCTTGTTTTTCTAGATTACACATTGTTTTGACATAAATATTGAACTTCATTGATGGCTTCTTTTATATGTACAATAGTGGTACTTTTATGGTTGAAATAGCTAATAAATAGAACTTTTTTTTCAAAGAAGCTTAAAAAGATCATAAAAATTTGCAATAGTTGTAAATTTATTTTTATCCAAAGATAGCTTCTATAAGTTTTATTTTTATTTTTATTTTTTAAAAATCTTTGTTGATGTTAAATTCACATAGACAATGCTAATAAATACAAAGATAAGATAATATTTAATTTTTAGTATTAGATATAAATTTCTAAAAAAGATAGTTTATTTTTTTGA